CTTAAACAACTTTTTTTGGTGGAGTCCGGAAAATGTTCAAATATAAGAAAGCTGTTGGGTATTAGTAAATGATAAACATGTGTACTATTTATATTTATGTGGCAATTTTGTACAATGATAAAATTTGCAATTCATCGGACCGTTTCTGACTCAAACGGACTGTAATTGGGATGCTTTTGCACTGATGTCATCTGCATAAGTTTTGAAGGGAATAGAATGGCTCCTGATGACGTTACCGAGGGGAAGTGTGTACACAGTAAACAACATGGGTCCCAGAACCGAGCCTTGCGGGACACCGAATTGCATCTTGGACACAGGTGATCGATAGCCATCGACTTGCACCTGCAGATGACGATTTCCTAGGTATGATCGGAACCACTCAAGAGCGGTACCCATAATGCCTAGTGTGTGCTCCATTCTCCGAAGAAGGACATTGTGGTCCACGGTATCAGAACAAGCGGACATGTCCAATAACACCAGCAGTAACAGTTCTTGGTTGTCTAGGCTTTTGGCAATGTCATTCTGCACACACAGAAGGGCGGTCTCAGTGCTGTGTTTCTGTATGTAAGCAGACTGAAATACTTCCAGCAGTTCATTGTCTTTAAGATGTTGTTGAAGCCTGGATGCAATGATGTTTTCGAGGACTTGAGATGGGAAAGGGAGATTAGAAATAGGTCTGTAATTCTTCATTACCGTGCTATCTAGAGAAGGCTTCTTTAAAAGCGGGGTTAACAGAACCAACTTGAACTTGTCAGGCACAACACCGTCGAGTAGGCAGGAGTTAGAATATAGGTAACAGCTGGGGCCAGAGATAACAGCAAGATTTAATAAACAGTGATGTCGGCAAGGTGTCAAGAGCACAGGACTTTGTAGGTGATTTCCTGATGATGTTTGAACACTCAGACACTGTGAGGGGACGGAAAAACAAAGCTCGGTGCCAGTGAACTGTTGAGAAGAGAAAGAGAAAGATTCATTCAGGGTATTTAAGTAAATCTTCACTATTTAATTTAGGACCGTTGGGAGATAACAAGGAAGAACGATACCTGGCGAGAGGTCAGACGTTCAGTGTGCAAAACAAAGGCTCGGTTCCAAAATTCAGTTTTTGTAATGCTCAGCTGTATCTGATCTTGCACAGTGCTCCGAGGCAATAACTTTTATGAAATCGTAATTTGTAGATTATATAATAAAGACTAGTTCTCTCTTTGAACAACTAGCGTGTACTCAGCTGAGCTATAGCTAGGCCTTATTATTATAAGGAATCCGATAGAATTACTGCACATCAAAGGAATTACAATCCAGAACAGCCTTGGAGTCAAGACTAAACTATAATAAATCTGAAGCCAATGAGACTGATATATAGCTAAAAAATGAAGTTATCTTAATTAAAAATATATAAAAATATGTATATGTTTCTATCTACAAAACAAATCCAAATGTAGCCAGGAACAATTTTTGTATTCCTGGATCTGAGGCAACCTAGACCTAGACCTAGCCAAATATTTCTAGACTTGAGTAGGAGTCGTTTTAATATACTAGGGTCTGAGAGACAGTGAGTGAGTTTAGTTTTACGTCGTTTTTAATAATACATGTAGTATCACGTCGGGGACACCAGAAATGAGCCTCTCATTTTGTACCCTTGTGGGGAATCGAGCCCGGGTCTTCGGCGTGACGAGCGTACGCCTACCCAACCGCCCTCTGGGAGACGGACAGAAGCCGATCGACACCGGTAGTATTCATGTTGTACATTCTGTATGCTTCAAACACCTGCTGGGTTACCTTGTTATACAATCATTAATGGTTATTAAACATGTCTTATAGACCCGTGAAGATCCGGGTTAGAATTGATCTTCAGCAACCCATGCAAGAGGTGACTAACGTGATCGGGTGGTCAGGCTTGCTGACTTGGTTGACACATGTCATCGTATCCCAATTGTGATGCGTAGATCGATGCTCATGCTGTTGATCACTGGATGGCTGGTCCAGACTCGATTATTTATAGACCGCCGCCATATAGCTGGAATATTGCTGTGTGCGGCGTTAAACAACAACCAGCTAACTACCGTGTTATAGATACGGGAATTCACGAGTCCTATCCCAAAAGCTGAAACTATATTTCGAAAATTAACACGGCGACAAAGAAACAGTACGCGTACCTTTATTCGTTGCTTTATAAATGTGGCAACACGATCTGTGCGTGACTGCCGTTTATTGATAACAATCGTGACAATTCATTGTCAAGACAAACAATGGACAACTCTGTTTTAGGCGAGCGCTTTCAGCCATAACGAACTTTTTTAGGGTACGATGTATGTGAAAACAGAAATTCATGCAATGATCAGAGGACACGAATGGTATAAATATGTTCATACGTTCAATAACACACACACACACGCACACAGAGGCACACATATGCACACACATGCACGAACACACGCACGAACGCACAGTGAGTGAGTGAGTTAGCATGATGTAGCAATATTCCAGCAATATCACGGCGGGGGACACCAGAAATGGGCTGCACACATTGTACACATGTGGGGAATCGAACCTGGGTCTTCGGCGTGACGAGCGAACGCTTTAACGACTAGGCTACCCCACCGCACCCGCACGCACAGAGCAACACAGTTAAACGCAGATACACAGAAGGGGAGAGAGAAAAGGGGGAAGAGGGTGTGTCTAAATCTATTACACATTATTGCTGACAGTAATGCTTGTAATTGCAAATTGCTGATAACTATGCCTGCTTGATGCACTATTTAAACCTGACTCAGGGGTCAAGCATATAACAATGTCACATACTCACGTCGTGATTCAGCACGAGTGGCCTCATTAACATATCCTGCTATATTACACTGTTTGCACATAGTAAGTGTTGTGAATTTCCTGTCTTATAACAAGAGTATTGCATGAGTGGTAGAGCGACAGGAAAACAGTATTACTAATTAGAACTATGGAAACCAATCCGGGTCATCATATAGGACAGTGTAGACTAACGCTTAGTCTTTGAATATATTATACTTTTGATAGGAACAAATAATTCCATTTAAATTGAAAATGAGCCCCTGTGAGTTGGGAGATTCAGAACCTGAAACCTAAACTTGCTTCATTTAGGGCTTTAGCATTGCAGGGAGGGCTAGGCAGTAGGATAAAACAATATGGTTCAGGGACTGTGAGACAGACTAGATTGCAGAGAGGGCTAGGCAGTAGGATAAAACAATATGGTTCAGGGACTGTGAGACAGACTACATTGCAGAGAGGGCTAGGCAGTAGGATAAAACAATATGGTTCAGGGACTGTGAGACAGACTAGATTGCAGAGAGGGCTAGGCAGTAGGATAAAACAATATGGTTCAGGGACTGTGAGACAGACTAGATTGCAGGGAGGGCTAGGCAGTAGGATAAAACAATATGGTTCAGGGACTGTGAGACATACTAGATTGCAGGGAGGGCTAGGCAGTAGGATAAAACAATATGGTTCAGGGACTGTGAGACAGACTACATTGCAGAGAGGGCTAGGCAGTAGGATAAAACAATATGGTTCAGGGACTGTGAAACAGACTACATTGCAGGGAGGGCTAGGCAGTAGGATAAAACAATATGGTTCAGGGACTGTGAGACAGACTACATTGCAGAGAGGGCTAGGCAGTAGGATAAAACAATATGGTTCAGGGACTGTGAGACAGACTACACATTGCAGAGGGCTAGGCAGTAGGATAAAACAATATGGTTCAGGGACTGTGAGACAGACTACATTGCAGGGAGGGCTAGGCAGTAGGATAAAACAATATGGTTCAGGGACTGTGAGACAGACTACATTGCAGGGAGGGCTAGGCAGTAGGATAAAACAATATGGTTCAGGGACTGTGAGACAGACTACATTGCAGGAGGGCTAGGGCAGTAGGATAAAACAATATGGTTCAGGACTGTGAGACAGACTACATTGCAGGGAGGGCTAGGCAGTAGGATAAAACAATATGGTTCAGGGACTGTGAGACAGACTACATTGCAGGGAGGGCTAGGCAGTAGGATAAAACAATATGGTTCAGGGACTGTGAGACAGACTACATTGCAGGGAGGGCTAGGCAGTAGGATAAAACAATATGGTTCAGGGACTGTGAGACAGACTACATTGCAGAGAGGGCTAGGCAGTAGGATAAAACAATATGGTTCAGGGACTGTGAGACAGACTACATTGCAGAGAGGGCTAGGCAGTAGGATAAAACAATATGGTTCAGGGACGGTGAGACAGACTACATTGCAGAGAGGGCTAGGCAGTAGGATAAAACAATATGGTTCAGGGACTGTGAGACATACTGTTGATAGTATGGCAGCGGTAATACTCTGCCACTTACTGAAGGCTCGACTGAAGTGTGTTTTCTTTATAGAAATTTAGAAATACTGATGCCCTTTCATTCACCTTCTCCTGGTCGGTCACCTGCCGGGTCAGCCTCGTTTTGGATTCAGTGGGCTCACCCATTTTGATCTAGGGAGGTAGGAGATTTGTTAACACGAACTAGGGTGGGGGGTCGGCAATTTTAACATATAAATATATTAATAAATTATGTTTAAAAATTATGGGAAAGGGTGGGGGTGGGAATTGGGGGTTGGGGTTATTGATTTTGTACATAAAATGGGGACGGCACTTACTTTGTACATAAATACAGGGGGTCATATCTCTCTCTCCAGGGGCGGATACAGCTTTTTTAGAAGGGGTGTGGGGTGTGTGCACAATTCACTTTCACGAGTGTTTCAATGGTCATTTAATCATCTTTCAGGACAAAATGGGGTCCTACGCGCTCTCTCTCTCTCTCTCTCATTCTCTCTCTCTCACACACACCCCACACACACACCTAGCCATAAATTATGAACGGTCCCTAAGATGATTACACAATTCCAGGAAATATTTGTTCTTGTAAGTAACAAGTAACAAGTCTCCCAACATGATCTCATTACTGCACACCTGAAATATGACGCTAGTTCCGTCACCCATCCCATCTGGAGTGACGGGACAACAAATCCAGTGCTTCTCAACCCGGACAGACTGTATTATATAAAGCCCGACCGCCATCCTAGCAGATAGTCAGTTTCCAGTCGTCCCAGACTCAACGCGCAACCTCGCGATAACTCGCAGTATCCCTTGCTCTGTAGTATAGTCAGTCGGTGTGTACGGACCGTTTCTATTGGTTTCAAACATGGACGCGTATGAAGGAAAATGGGAAATTCTCCCTGCAGAAGCAACAGGATTTGACGAATTCAGTGCCGCCATAGGTAAGTTTTTTACTAAATCTTAATATTGTAAACAAACATACCACGCACGAGCATCAGTGAAACCTTGAATTCCTGTCGACTGGAAAACAATTGTGTGTGTCTTCAGCAGTGCTGACCTTATGCCAAAGTTAGGTTGTTGAACTTACATGAACGAATGACCATGTAAGTAAATATTCAGTTGTTTGTTAGTTGTCTAACACATAATAATCGAAGCATACAATCTGATGATTGTCATCGTGAGCATTGATTTACGGATTCCACGACCAAATCAAAGTTTGACCACGATCCCATTAGTCGAGTGTAACATAGATTGAGTTTTCGTTTGTTATTATTTCTTAAGGAATATTATTGACAGGCTGAATATTAATCTTATTTTTAGACTTCCCGCTCACTCAAACTTAAATTCGTTTTCTACTAAGGCTGAAAAAACTGTCATCATTTCGTAATTGACAAATTTGCGATGAAGAGTTGCTTTGTAGATACAAATTCAAACAACTCGAAAGAACTCGCAAAAAAACATGCAAACGGTGAGATACAAAGCTAGTGTTGACGGTGATGGGAACGCTGCAACAGCAGCAACGGTAACGTGCCCTGCCCTAACGTCCCGACGAGATTTACCAGATAATATGTGTACAGAAGGCCTGCAAGCACTTCACTGTCAAACAGTAATGCTGACTTATTTAGAAAAAAATCCAAAGTGTTTATGTCTTGGAAAAAATAATCAAACTGCCAAGAGCAGATTCTAAAGTGTTTTATAGGTCGTTCCTCCGAAAACCGTCAAACCCATCATGGGGGACAACCACCTCTTCCCTTCCTACACTGATAACTGGTTGCGACGAAAACCCATATTCACTCAAAATGTCCACATCCATTATTTAAATGTAAGTCGATATACAGCGTCAGTGACTAGTGGCACCAGACAGCATTGCCATGGTTTTCAGGCAATCCACACCAAACTATGCCATCGTCTGCTCACATTCCGCAGACGACAAAAGCTGTTTGATTCACATCATATGCCAGAAGGATAGATTTCTGTTCGGCCGATCCCAATGGCCCGCTTCGCTTTATTGTTGATTGACTGTGGTCTGCGGCAGGAAATTGGCATTGTTTATGTTCATCTGAGGCTTCTCACATGAAGTCAGACTAGTTGTCGGGGAACCTATGGCAACATGCTGAGGCGAGAATGCTGGGAAGATCCTGAGACGCGGACGGAAGTCGGCGGAACCTTTAGAATGTAAACGTTGCTGAGACTATTACAAGAAGTACATCTCATATGTGTGCCCCTTTAACATTTGTAAATTGACACGACTCCCAAGGCCGAAAGCTATGAATGCACAATGCAATTTTAGAAAGTGGCTCAGAATGAGTAATCCCAAATATTACATTTGATATTACTTGTTACATTTGACCTCTTTCTAAATGACATTGTGTATTCATAACTCTCGGCCGCGGTAGCCGTGCCAATTTACACTTTTCTCTAGGGATACTCAGAGTATGTGATCTAAACTGCCAGTTGCCAGACTTCCATTTTAGTGAACAACCCGGTTGGTTGACAGGTGGCGCATTGTCGGCGCTTCACACCCGAAGATAATGCCTCAAGACTCGTCATGGAAGTTGCCGCATCCGAAATAAAATTGGAGCTTTAACAGATACGTGGATTTATCTGTCAAGATTGTATGTGAGGTATTTCCTATACTGGGTAGCCAGTGACAAACGGCTTTTAGACGAGTGAGTTTAGTTTTACGCCGCACTCAGCAATATTCCAGCTATAATGAATGAATGAATGAATGTCTTTATTTCCTCCAGATAGGTCCGAAGATCCTCAAAACATCATGGTTATATAATTATATAATTAACAGAATACTCAACAAACATACACACACACATATATATATATACATAAACATGCATAGAATATGGGAACATTTCCCCAAATATATACAGGTTATTAGCAGTCAGGTATTGGCTAGATTATTACCACAAGTAATTGAGAATATCTTTTAGTTTATACAGATACTTTGAGAATTCTAAAATAGTGAAATGCCTTGTTATTTCATCAATATCATTGTTATTGGCCCCAAGAAAGAATGCCAGCATGTCATGCTCTTCCATCATCTCTATTTTGATATACATGTCAATATCAAGATTATCGATTAGAGTTGAGAAAAATACATCTCTCTCTGAAAGTAGAGATACACAGTTTAGTATAACATGGTGATAGAAATCGTTAGCGAAGGTATTACATTTTTTTACATTCTTTTGATAGTTTGCTTCCGGATCCAATCCTTATTACATATTGCAATTCTTCTCTCAGTTCTGGATATAAAAATACCATGCTGTATAACACATGAGGTGAAAGTGCTGTATGGATTTTAGAATATCGAGACAAGTCAGCTCTGCATGATAGTTTATATTTCCAAACTTCTTCCTCGTGGTTACTGATTTCATTTACTACAATCTTTCTCCACTTATGTTTCGCCGGGAATTCTCCTGTGCAGATGTAGTCAAATACATAATGAAGTAAGTTATATTTCTTAGCTGTTGAAAGAAGTACTCCACATAAACTGTCTAAGTTCTTGGTATGAGAATAATAGAGTGAGGTAGATGCACAAAAGATTGTTTTACAGATTGGGACACATGATAAGTTACAGAGACGCCCAAGCAGCTGTAGTCTGCATTTATCTATATAGCCGACCATGCTCCAGAGTCCTAGATCAGCAATGGTGGCGTCAGTAGGAGAGCGTTTATCAAAACCTTGTACAATCCTGGCAAAGTAGCGCTGAGTGCTTTCAGTTAGTTCAAGGCCTTTACCATGGAGATTGGGTAGTAATTCACAGCCATAAAAACTCGTTGTTAATATCATTCTTTTCCATATCTTAATACTTGAATACTGATGCAAATCCCTACTGTTTAGACCAACAGAGAGGAGGGAATTAACAGTGCGCCTTGCTTTAGTACAGCTCTCCTCAATATATAGTTTAAAAGAAAGATTACTTTGGAGAAGAACACCCGCGTACTTTACACTATCAGACAGGGGTATGTCATGATCTCCAAGATGATAAGCATGCATACGCATTAGTTGCTTCTTTTTTTGAAACACCACAATGTTACTTTTTGATGCATTATAGGTTAATCGCCATTTGGATGCGTAATTAACAACTGTGTCTAAAGCTAGTTGTAGACTTTTAGGGCTGTAACTAATAAGTGTAGTATCATCAGCAAGTAGTACACATGGATCTACGCATTTGAGATACGATGACATGTGTCAGCCAAGTCAGCGAGCCTGACCACCCGATCTCGTTAGTCGCATCTTACGACAAGCATGGGCTACTGAAGATCAATTCTAACCCGGATCTTCACGGGATGGTTAGCATAGGTTACTGAAGACCAATTCTAACCCTGATCTTCACGGGTTGGTCCCTTGAAATGGGAACGAGTATACGTAATGGCGGACAACTCCAAGATTTGGTGTCACCAGAACCGGAATGTTTGGACACCTGGTCCCTAGAGATGAAAGGGTGTTAGGTATATATGGTCTTGACAACCGATGTGTAAAATGTGTTCGTAAAGCTTGATAAAACAGTCCTCGGCCATCATACCAAGATGATGTGTAAATCAATTTACGTCACCTTGGCAACAAATGTGTGACAGCAACCTCCACCACACGGCCAGTTGTTCAGAAGTAGAGTGTCAGAACAGACCACCAGGGTCCCGATCCACAAAACGTTCGTAGCGCTACGACATTCGTAAGCCTATGACAAACTAGGACAGGTCGTAACGCTACGAACGCTTTGAGGATCGGGCACCCAGGAATCGACTGCACAGCAGATATCCGAATTTGTAGACTAACAACTAGTCTCTGACAAGAACATTTTTAACAGAAAAATGCTCATAGTAAAAAAAAATATAATGAAAAGGAATCCTGTGACTTTCTTCCTGAAGCTGTGGAAATCTAGACTTGCCACATTTTCCAGACTTGCGAGGGCGTTCTTGGATTCATTTGCTTCCGGGTCTGTATGACAGACTACCGAATTGGTCTATCCTGTCATGCCGATTCAATCCCTGGGTCGTCTGTGTTTTTACCATATATCTGAAAGTGTTTTAGGGACAGCACTAAGCCTATGGATACTTTCCCCATTGCGGAGTAGTTGCACTGGTTCCAGTTAAACTTACGAGAGAAATATAACTGGCCGGATGAAGTAGAACATCAGTGGTGCACCGTCAACAGTCAGTTTGATCGGTTTATTGAACCTAGGATCCGCTAGTACTGACAACAAAGTTCTTAGGGTATCGACAGCAAGGGTGTACGGTGTAGTCCACTCAAACTTCATGTTCTTCAAAAGTGCTGTTTGGAGCGCTGGTACGGAAACTTCTGTAATAACCCGCCATATCGAGAAGACGGCGCATTTCCTTGTTTGTATGCGGCGTAAGAAAGTTCATGCTGCCTTCCGCATTAGGTGTCTTGGGCGCGTGATCCTGTGACCGTGTGACCGTGTGACCGTGTGACCGTGTGACCGTGTCACATGCTACAACGAGCGCTTGTCTAAGTTGACCGTGAGGTTAGGAGACTGGAGTCGATCTAGCGCTTGCCCAAGAGTTGCTACGTGATCTCTCAGGGGGTGTGAAAATATGACGACGTCGCCGAAGTAGACGCTCACGTCGGTAATGTCAGCCAGAAATAGATTCATCCCTGGAATGCTGCGACCACTGTCTCCAGGAGTCGCTTCATATAGCGACGTTCAGAAAGACCGCCATCATATGCATATAGACGGAGGATTGCTGTATCACCCAGTGGGTATGGGTCACTGGTCTAGATCTGTGGGCATGTGCTCTTGTCCGTGTCATCGGGCATGTATCATTTGTCTGGGTCATTGGAAATGTATCACTTGTCTGGGTCATTGGAAATGTATCACTTGTCTGGGTCATTGGAAATGTATCACTTGTCTGGGTCATTGGACATGTATCACTTGTCCGGGTCATTGGATATGTATCACTTGTCTGGGTCATTGGACATGTATCACTTGTCTGGTTAATCGGGGTTTATAATCATTTTTCCCGACACACGCTTAGTCCCTAAAAATATATGATTTGGAAAGTAAAAATTGAAAAGGAGCCCCAGTGAGTTGAGAGAACCTGGGGAAATCTAGCCTTGCTTCATTTTGGGGCTTTAGCATTGCAGGAAGGGCAAGGCCCTAGGGAAAGTAATGTGGTTCAGGGACTGTGAGACAGATTACTGTAAAGATAGACGTCAGTAATTATACGCCTAAAAGATGAGAGCTATACTGTATGTGTCGGTTGCACAAGCTTACAGCGTGAGTCAGCTATTCAAGACTCCACTTAACTTCCTGCTTGTGATTTCTGTTTTCATCAGACAGCTGTGGTATTTTCTAAGCTCACAAAGCGAGTTATGGAAACATGTTCTCGAGTCATCAAGGGGCGGTGGGATAGCCTGGTGGTTAAAGTGTTCGCTCGTCACGCCGAAGACCCGGGTTCGATTCCCCGCATGGGTACAATGTGTGAAGGCCATTTCTGGTGTCCCCCGCCGTGATATTGCTGGAATATTGCTAAAAGTGGCATAAAACTCTACTCACTCACTCGCTCGAGTCATCAGCCCTGGATATGGCTTGGGCGGTCAGACTTTGCTGATCCCTTGTCGTCATAACCCGAGAGAGTCGGGAATCTTTCATAATATCAAGCACTGGTTTGGCTGAACACACAATGAACAGGCTGCTGTCATGTAGATGAGTAGGGCGTTACCTAACAACCAACTGCATCCCTGTAGCAGCGTCCGAAATAATTTCCAATTTTTGCAAGCCAGTCGGGCCAGCTATGCCTGGAAGTTACTAGCCCACAAAATAATTCTTTAGTCCGAAATTTGAATGTAGAAACGGGCAACATCATTAAGATGCTAAAAATATGTTAACATTTTTTTATCAGGCCATAATCTTTCATGATTAAAAGTGTGTTATAACTTAACAAGTCGGAGAGAGTGATATATTTACAAAATGACCCAATGAATATTCACTGGCCAGTCGGGCTACTCACTGTGGAGATTTACCGACCCTACTGGATTTTTACCAGCCACGGGCTAGCGGGCCAGTGGCTATTTCGCACACTGCCCTGTAGGCTGTATGTCTCACGGTCACCTCCCTGCAATGCTGAAGCATTAATTGAAGCAAGCCTAGATTTTCCCTGAATTTCCCAACTCACAAGGGCTCCGACCCGTGAAGGTCCGGGTTAGAATGAACCTTCAGTAACCCATGCTTGTCGTAAGAGGCGACTAGGGTGGTCAGAGGTGGTCAGGCTCGCTGACTTGTTTGACACATGCCATCGGTTCCCAATTGCGCAGATCGATGCTCATGCTGTTGATCACTGGACTGTCTGGTCCAGACTCGATTATTTACAGACCACCGCCATATAAATTTAGCTGGAATATTGCTGGGTGCGGCGTAAAACTAAACTCACTGACTCACTCACAAAGGCTGCTTTTTCAATTTAGATGGGTTTATTTGTAGCTATCAATAAGGGACTAGGCGTTAGTCTACCCTGTGGGTTGTTATATTTTTCGTTTTATTCCAGGAGTTCCTGAAGAAAAACGGAACCTGATGAAGAACCTGGTATATGTGGTGGAGTACAACAAGGACGGCGACAACTGGAATGTCAGTTTACAAGTACAGGGGTCCGACCAGCCCATGAACTTCTCGTGGACACCGGGGGTTGAGTTCGAGTACGCGGGACTTGATGGTACCACCATGAGGGTACGTATATACCTGCTGGGAGTCACCTGTGCCAGTCGCTTGTCTGTAGGACTCTGGTACGGGTTACGAATCCTTGGGCTTGGTTAGTGCATGCATGAATCTGATTATGATTTTCACTATTGCCATGCTGCTGAACTCTTCTTGGCTGAGATCGCAAATGTTTGGTTGTGGTTAGTGTTTCTTTGAATCTTAGGTGATCAAAAGTATTTAATCGATACCAGTCATAATCATTTCGATGAATAAATGTATAAATTGTACACATTTCTTAACCAAGGTGCTTAAAATGGGTAGAATAATGGGGAAATGTAAATACTTGATACGTGATATAAATCATGACATGAGTTAAACGGAACACTTTGTTACAGAGCACCATAAAATGGGATGGAAGTGCTTGCCATGAGGACCACGCCTCTGTTACTGGAAAGTGGACCTCGGTCAGAAGTGTGGACGGAGATTCAATGACACTGGTCAGTTACTTGGTAACTTGGTAACAGGTTACTTGTTTCTTGAAAACAACACTAGCCCGGTCACCAGTTATAAAATCCTGAGGCAGTGGGATACATCTGTTGTGATGATCACTCGTTGATATGATTCATGTCAGATCGCCCTGTCAAATACACCGCGGGCCGTGGGGTAGCCTAGTGGTTACGGCGTTGGCTCGTCACGCCGAAAACCCAGGTTCGATTCCCAGCATGGGTACAATGTGTGAAACCTATTTCCGGTGTCCCCCGCGTTGATATTGCTGAAATATTGCTGAAAGCGGCGTAAAATCATACTCACTCACTCCCACATTTCTGGGCGACATGCCCTATTTTCACTTTTTAAAATTTTCAAACAAAGGGAGGTAAGAATTGTTCTTTGCGTATACTTTACGGAAGCCTTTTAGGGCCATTTCCTTTTCTTTTTCTTCTTGAAATGTCAAGATGCTAAGTTGAAATTTCAAGATATATATTATGTTGAAATTTCATGTAAAAGGGTTTGAAATTTCAAGATATGAAGTTGAAATTTCGGCTTGGTATCTTAAAATGTCAACAACAAAAAATAGAACTCCCCCCCAAAAACACACACCCCCAAACCTCCAAAAACTAAAAGGCCTAAAAGGCTTCCATAATACTTTGCTATAGCATGGATTAATAGGCTAAGAAAAGGCTCTAATCAGCCGATATTGGATATTTCAAGCAAATATATGGCGTGTCGCCTAGCAGTGGAGGCCACCATTGTGCAGTCCTTGCCTAATGAAGCGCTAGCGCAGCATATAGAGGGAAACAGGTTGACCCAGGCTCATATTTCGGCGTTTTGTTAGTCTGTCCTAGACCAGAAATAGTCTCTGAACATGTATTAGTCTCTGAAATTGCATAATTCTAATTAATGAAAGAAACAAATTGTTTTACCAAATAAAATACTTGGTGGAAGGGAACATACCATGGTTCAGAGTGTGAGGGAAGAAACCTCTCCCGGAATTGACTGAGTTACATCCGGCCTTGCAAATTGATGGGGAAAAACGGACTGCTCACGATTTCATTGTACAGGTACATCATATGAATAAAACAGAATGTATCCACTGTTGCATTATTCAAATACTCAAATACTTGTTTTCAGACATCTGAAAGCAGTGGCGTCAGCATGGTTCAGAAGTTTAAACGTGTCTGATGTCAGCGGAACCACACAACCATGAAACCTTTGACGTGGCCATGTTTGAAGAGGTATCACGGGTACCTGGCCTAAGTTTGAAATATTCGCGATTGTGATTGGCTGACAATGCACATTTGCATCGTCATTGGTGTATGCTTCATATTGTTGCAATGACAACTGCCAGTGTATGCTCTGGGGAACAAAAGATGCATTTCATGAGTGCAGTACTCTTTTTATGAACGATATCAAGAGTTTACCATTTATTTCACGACTATTTCTTTATATTTGGGTTGACAATATAAACAACGTCCCATTGATTAGTGTCGAGTTCGCCCGAGGTTCAATGTTGTTTAAAATTACATAACAAAGCGCTAGAAATTCTGAATCTTTTAAGCGGAAAGGATGTATTCATGTCTACTGAAACTGGCAGTGGTTGACGTTGCTTGGTAATACGAGTAACCTCCCTTATCCTTTTCCCTTCCCTCGGCGTTTGATTTGTCAGCAGCATGAAAATCACGAATTCGAAGGTCCATTTAGGTTTACTACAATGTGATCACATGCTCGATATGCCCGGTCTGTCGTCTGGTGGTACAAATGTATGCTATTAATGTAAAGCTTGGTTGAACAACAACTCGAGTGTCATGTATCCGCCTTGTTCACACTGAACGCATATAACATTTGTCCTGATCGTGAATGTCGTAATGCATTGTTCGTTCATGTATAATCTCCAGTCATGTGTTCAACCTTCTTAATTCCGTTTACTGTTATTGAGAAATGTAAACATTAATATTACTGTCACAAAGTTTGCTAACTGTACGACCATTTATCATTCGGTTAAATTAATGATTAATATGTTTTGCTCATTTTATGTCTTTGGTAGCGACAATACCGGTAACAACATTGCATCATTATTTTATGCGTGATAATAAATTTTCATTCTGTTCACTATCACCTTTTGTGATTGTTCAAGTAAAGATATTCAGATACAAATTATTGAAATAATCCATTTTTAGGTAGAGCATATGTGTAATGGCCCCGGTGGACAAGGATCAGAATCCTGAATTCGAACTAACGACCAGTGGATTCTGTTCCTGTTGAGGGAAGCAACTTTTACAAATCAATACTGGGAAGGACATGTTGTTTTGCAAAATGGGGCAGACAAAAGACCCTTTTGATAAAAGCCCATTACGTTAAAATCAGTACAGGTCAATGGTCTGTTTGTTTGAAATTGTTGTTTAACGCCGCATTCAGCAATATTTCAGCTATATGTCGGCTGTATTTAAATAATCGAGTCTGGACCAGACAATCCATTGCGACCAACAGCATGATCATCGATCTACGCAACTGGGATAAGATGACATGTTCAGCAAGTCTGACGACCCGGTCCCGTTAATCGCCTCTAAGGACAAACATGGGTTGCTGAAGACCAGTTCTAACCAGCATCTTCTGGGATCCGTAGGTCAAAATCCCAGCTGGACATAATTCCCTTAGGATAAGAGTTTCACACGGATAAACGCCATTCTTTTTTAAAGAAAGTATATAAAATTCACAGCAGTTACTGAAAAAAGACACTGTATGGACATTCCAAACTGATGCCAGATCATCATCAGTTGAAAAACGAAATTCCTAAATGGGTAGTTTGCTGTCACTTCTGTCTACAAATAAGTTTGCCGTTTCATCTTCATCTTTCATGAGTTCTCTTTGCTTACTTGGTTGGGGTGTGTGTGGTGGCAGGATAGCCTAGTGTTTAAAGCATTCACTTGTCGCACCGAAGCAACCCACATGGGTACAGTTTTGGAAGCCTACTTTTGGTGTCCCCCGTCGTGCTAAAAGCAACGTTAATCCATACTCACTCACTCCATTCCTAAAGTGACTGAAATGTGTGGAAGCCATTTCTTGTGATCGCCTTGGTCATACTGTTGAAACCATCGATTGACATCCAGGCAACATGATACTAATCCAGTACGTCACTATGGCAACACCCTCCCTCATGGCACTACGATGACAGCACTGTGACACGTGGGCCCTCGTAAATGGGTGATTACATCATCATTAAGTATTGCAATTTTTCAATATTCTGAAAATTATTTTTTCCACGGAAACAACTTCATAAACTTAGTAAAAGGTTTTAGGCATTGGCAAGACTCAAAACATGATCTCATGACAGCAACAACAGTGAAGTATTATGAGCAATACATGACAACCGGAAGTGAAATATATCATGAGTTATTCAGCAGTTTCACTGATGCAGATAAAAAGGCTACCACCAGAGTTGGTCGCTGCATTTGAAAATGAGGACTTTGTTGCAAAGCCGTCTCGCGTATAGTCTAATGCTGTCATCATGGACATTACTCTAGAGACAACCAACACAAAGGTACTGAAGGGTGCTGGAGGGAGAATTGGCTGGACGCTTGGAGGTTCAGCTCCTGCAAGATGATTTCTGGTTTGTCCCATGACTTCACAGTACTCCACGAGGTTCCAAAATATTATACGTCATAATGGTTAGATTGACACAAACAAGACGCCTCAGGCGCCTTAGGAAGGTAGAATACAGATATGAAATAGATGTCACGGATGTTTGACAGAGCCTATACAATAATCAGTTTGAGCTTCTCTGCAGAGTCTTCTGCTCATCTGGTGAACTTTGGCGTCACCACTTCAACTTTCATTGCAGTCTGCTTCGTGTCTCCTGAAGGATGTCAACAAAATGAGTCAATATGATCCAATCCCAAGGCCAGCAATGTGTTTAAATGGCATGGTACATCACAAGGCTGTAACCACGGAGAGGCGATGTAACTGAGAAGGCAGTGAATGTAAAAAAAACCCAACAAACCCGAAAGTGCCTCTCAAGCGAGATCTTTCCCCTGAAAATGTTCCAGTGACAGAACAAGTCAGATGGAAGAACTTGTGACAAAGTGACAGTAATTCATGCTTCACTGCGGCATGGTATCTCAGTGGGCTAGCACTATAAAACCAGCTTAAGTCTGGGCTAGTACAAGCAGCCGCACACACACATACACACGCATGCACGTTGTCATATGAGCGAAATATTCTCAAGCACGACGTTAAACCCAATTTCACCTCACCTCACCTTAGTGCGTGATGGGCATACGTCAGTACAGATGCTGTGTACATCTATCTACCTTCCAGAGACATGGCAGAGAGCTTTTATGGATATGCAGTTTACAACTGCAGCACACTCCCAGTTAGTGATGTACACATGATCTGTGATAAGTATATGGATGACAGCATCAAAGGTTAGATCCGTTCAAAGAGAGATGAAGACCAAGGCCATTTCTACCATGTGAAAGCAGCTGTAGCTATTAAGAACTTTGAACAGCTTAGCCTTGGCTCAACAGAAGATGATAATCGTTAGTCGTTAGTTAGTCTCGATTATGATGGCCCTGATGTGAGTTTGAGTAGAAAGGAAGGAAAGGGGAATGTAACACTGCATGTCCGGAACACTGGCATGTCCTGTTAGTCGCCTCTAGAGGGTTGGGGTCTAAAGCACTGATTTGTTTCAAAACGCCATCACTTCACAGACTGTCATCATGGGTTTTCAGAATCACTAATAACAGGGCATTATATTTTACCACAAGAGAAAATGTGGTTATGCTGATTTGGGTTCCCCACTTTAATAGGTGACCTTTGCTGCTCAACTATTACACACACGCACATACACGCACGCACACACAGACGTGGGATATTGCTGAATATATAAACAAAAAACACAAACTCTACACACCGAAGGCCTGGGTTCGAATCTCACTACAGCTAAAATATGTCCAACTAACTACTTGAGTCCCCACCGTGCTAAGATCTCTTAATAAAAGCAGCGTAAAACTAAATTCACTCACTTACTTTAAATGATAATACCCGTGAATTGTTGTTGTTTTTTTAACTCCATGCGAGATGGACATTCTGGAGGCTGCACAATATGTAATCATTGTCACCTTACTGACATCATCTTGTCAGATGGTCAAACAATGACAGCAGTGGGACTCATGGACCCTCCTCGTAAATGAGGCTTTACAGTTACGCCTCACGTACGGAAACTGACACATCATAATATTTTCGTATGAGTATTCCCCGAGAAAATTTCGTTTTGTCGGAGACGTATGGAATCCGAGAAGGGACATTGTCGCGTTGTAGCCCTCTCAAATACAAGCAAAATGAGGCAAAATTAACCAAAGCGCGACAATGCGACAACGCGACATTTCGCCCATTTGTCGCACTGTCGCGAGGTCGCATGTCGCATTTTGAATAATACTTTTCTATTCCTCCAAAGGGCGACAATGCGACATAGCGACAATTTTCAAGGTCAAAATATGTCGCGTTGTCGCATTGTCGCGCTTTGGTTAATTTTGCCTCATTTTGCTTGTATTTGCTCCATCCCAATCCCTGTATTCAATATATCATTATCAGTATATTTACAGCATGGCAAAGAAACAATTTGACACATGCAGATCCCTGTCATTTTTCCAAAGTAAAATTTATAATGCATTTTCTTTCACATTTGCAAAACAACAAACAATTTCTTGTATCTTTGAGTCATTCTGTCACCTGAACTTGCATACAGTCATCCCTTGGACTTGGAAGAGAATAAAATTAATAAGCCTACCAACTAGTTTACAAAGTATTTATATTAGTACCTCAAGTATTTATACACATGCATTTTACATTGCATAAAGCCAATTGTCTCTATTGAATATTTTGTAACTATTCCAAATTAAAAAACTCTTTTTTACATATCAATATTGATATTTGTTAGAAACTATTTAATCTCAAATAGTTCCTAACAAATATAAATATATTGAATATGTAAGTTTTTATTTTGGAATAGTTACAAAATATTGCTGCAGCATAAGAAATGTATTTAGAAAATAAATAACAAATTAAACAAACAAATATATTCTAATTTGGAATTACATACTTTAATTGAAAAGGGAAATGACAGTCAATGTGGCCAAATATGAATAGAACATCAACTTGATAAAGTTGGTAACACACGGCTGTTTTATGAATAGCAGTATATTAATTAATAGTTTTATCAATTCAATATAAATACAGATTACTCAAATGCATTTTACGTTAACCATGTCATTGATTCCCGAAATATGTTTTGTGACAAACACTGTCCGCGATACTGAAAAGAAACACGTTTAGCGATAGAACTGCACTGGTTGTCAAAATTATTATAGCTAAAGAAAGGTACTCATATGTTTTCGAATTTCGAATCACCGGAAATCTGGTGATGTGACGGATATGTCAACCCGTCATGTGTATTTCTTACTAGAATACACGGGTTTTGCTCGGTTAAGTATGTTACTTGTCCGTTTTTTATGATGAAAAGGGAGGAAACTCCAGTTTTGTTGTGAATTGTGAGGAGCGCCATGTAACACTCACTGCGAATAAAGAAGAATGTTTAACTCCCCAAAACGGGTTGAGGTTTATGTGTTCACAAGTAAGACAGCAACACAGCTGTCACAGTAGCGGAAGTAGCTCCTCGCGAGACTTCAGGGCCCTTATACGGTCGAGGTATCTCGAGTGTCGATCACCAAACAAATCCAGTTCCTCTCAACCCGGGCAAACTATATTATACAAAGCCTGACCGTCATTGACTGGTTTACGTTTTTCTAGACCCAGCCCGCAACACCGTGACAACTCGCGGTATCTCCTGCACTGGTGGGTAGTCAGTCACTTAGACTAAGGCTTAGTCTCTGAATATATATAATTTTGATAGTAACAAACAAGCCCATTTAAATTGAAAAGGAGCCCTAGGGAGACCAGAGATTCTGGGGAAATCTAGACTTGCTTCGTTTAGGGCTTTAGCACTACAGGGAAGGCTAGGCTGTAGGGAAAATAATGTGGTTCAGGGACTGTGAGACAGACTATCAGTCACTGTGTACAGCCCCGCTCTGTCGGTCTCAGACATGGACGCGCTAAGCGACGCTGCAGCCGCGTATGAAGGAAAATGGGAAATACTCCTTGCAGGAACCACAGGCTTCGAGGAATTCAGTGACGCCATAGGTTCGTTTTTTACTTGATGATTGTGTTTGATCTTAATATAACAATCATGCCACGCACGCGCATTAGTGAAACCTTGAATTTCTGTTGAATGGTTTACAATTATTGTCCTCAGTGCTGACACTATGCCACTTTAAACATCCTGCTTGAACAAATGACCTGGTACATGTTTTGTTCTTGTTTAACTTGAAGGCACAATGTCACACATTTTCGACAATATGCTTGCCTATATTTATATATTGGGGTCATATGTATCATCCCTTACGACTTGCCTAAATCGATAATTGAAACTTCGAGGCGAACAGCTTCACACTTGCCGTGTGGAATGCAAACGATTGCTCCATACATCGAAAACAGTCGCAAGCGGTGTTGTCGGCGTTTGTCGCACTGACTTCAATCAATGCGTTATAGGATATTCCTAAAGAGCGCCCCAACGGACATAACACTAAGGGGTTCACTTGAAATAATGCAACGTTGAATTAATTCATTCGAACTTTGTAATTTCATACTGTAATTTAAATACGTAATTTTTATGGAATAAATTATATGGTAGCTCCTCTGATTGCTGATTATTATTGAGAGAGATGCATTGTTATGTATTGTTAGAGAGGTGTGGTGTGCCTTTAAATATAAAATACCGAGGAATACAATCTGATGATTGACATTGTGAGCATCGATTTATAGTGGGAATACCATGACATGCCTCAACAAAATCAACGTTTGACCACCCGATCCAGTTAGTCAAGTATGACTGGTTGTGTTTTCGTTTGTAATTATTTAGTATGTAAGCATGTGGTTGACAGGCCGAATTTAATTTTATTGAGACTCCCCACTCACTCAAACCTTAATTCACATTTTACTAAGACTTCATAACGTCTCAGCATGGCATGGTACATCACAAGGCTGTAACCACGGAGAGGCGATGTAACTGAGAAGGCTGTGAATGTGAAAAAACCCCAACAAACCCGAAAGTGCCTCTCAAGCGAGATCTTTCCCCTGAAAATGTTCCAGTGACAGAACAAGTCAGATGGAAGAACTTGTGACAAAGTGACAGTAATTCATGCTTCACTGCGGCATGGTATCTCAGTGGGCTAGCACTATAAAACCAGCTTAAGTCTGGGCTAGTACAAGCACATACACACGCATGCACGTTGTCATATGAGCGAAATATTCTCAAGCACGACGTTAAACCCAATTTCACTCACCTCACCTCAATTTAAATGGGCTTGTTTGTTACTATCAAATTATATGTATTCAGAGACTAAGCGTTAGTCTAGCGGGATAGCTTCGCGCGTTAGAAGGACCGACGTCGTGAAGCAGAAAAATGCCGTATCTCTTCTGTGGGTCTTTGGGCATGTACCACTGGTCTAGATCATTGGACATGTACTACTTATCTGAGTCATTGGGCATATACTACTCGTCTGAGTCATTTGGCATGTAATACTTGTCCGGGTCATTGGCAAGTAGAACCTGTCTGGATCATTGGGTATGCATCAAGTGTTCGCGTTACTGGGAATGTAGAACTTGTCCGAATGAGTTGGCATGTAGAACTCCACCGAGTTATTGGCTATGTAACACTTGTCCAGGTCAATGGGTATGTAGCACCTGTCCGGGTCAATGGGCATGTAGCACTTGTCCGGGTCATTGGGCATGTAGCACATGTCCGGGTTATTGGGCATGTAGCGCTTGTCCGGGTAATTGGCTATGTAAAGCTTGTATGGGTAAATAGGCATGTAGAACTCCTCAGAGTTATTGGGCATGTAGCGTTTGTATGGGTGATTGGGCATGTGGAACCTGTCCGGACCATTGGGCATGTAGAATTCGTCCGGACCATTGGGCATGTAGCACTTGTCCAGGTCATTGGGCATGTAGAACTCGTCTGGGCCATTGGGCATGTAGAGCTTGTCCTGGTCATTGGGCATGTAGCACATGTCCGGGTCATTGGGCATGTAGCGCTTGTCCAGGTCATTGGCTATGCAACACTTGTATGGGTAATTAGACATGTAGAACTCCTCAGAGTTATTTGGCATGTAGCAGTTGTCCAGGTCATTGGGCATGTAACAATTGTCCAGGTTTTTGGGTATGTAACAACCGTGATGGTAATAAGGCATGTAGAACGTGTCCGGACCATTGGGCATGTAAAACTTGTCCTGGTCATTGGGTATGTAACACTTGTATGAGTAATGGAGCATGTAGAACTTGTCCGGACCATTGGGCATGTAAAACTTGTCAAGGTCATTGGGTATGTAACACTTGTATGGGTAATGGAGCATGTAGAACGTGTCCGGACCATTGGGCATATAAAACTTGTCCAGGTCATTGGGTATGTAACACTTGTATGAGTAATGGAGCATGTAGAACTTGTCCGGACCATTGGGCATGTAGAACTTGTCCGGACCATTGGGCATGTAAAACTTGTCCAGGTCATTGGGTATGTAACACTTGTATGAGTAATGGAGCATGTAGAACTTGTCCGGACCATTGGGCATGTAAAACTTGTCCAGGTCATTGGGTATGTAACACTTGTATGAGTAATGGAGCATGTAGAACTTGTCATTGTAGAACTTGTCCAGACCATTGGGCATGTAAAATGGAGCTTTGTCCAGGTCATTGGGTATGTAACACTTGTATGAGTAATGGAGCATGTAGAACTTGTCCGGACCATTGGGCATGTAAAACTTGTCCAGGTCATTGGGTATGTAACACTTGTATGAGTAATGGAGCATGTAGAACTTGTCCGGACCATTGGGCATGTAAAACTTGTCCAGGTCATTGGGTATGTAACACTTGTATGAGTAATGGAGCATGTAGAACTTGTCCGGACCATTGGGCATGTAGAATTCGTTCGGACCATTGGGCATGTAGCACTTGTCCAGGTCATTGGGCATGTAACACTTGTATGAGTAATGGAGCATGTAGAACTTGTCATGTAAAACGGACCATTGGACATGTAAAACTTGTCCAGGTCATTGGGCATATGTAACACTTGTATGAGTAATGGAGCATGTAGAACTTGTCCGGACCATTGGGCATGTAAAACTTGTCCAGGTCATTGGGTATGTAACACTTGTATGAGTAATGGAGCATGTAGAACTTGTCCGGACCTTTGGGCATGTAAAACTTGTCCAGGTCATTGGGTATGTAACACTTGTATGAGTAATGGAGCATGTAGAACTTGTCTGGACCATTGGGCATGTAAAACTTGTCCAGGTCATTGGGCATGGAACACTTGTATGATGTAAAACTTCCAGGTCATTGGGTATGCATTGTAGAACTTAGAACTTGTCCGGACCATTGGGCATGTAGAATTCGCCCGGACTATTGGGCATGTATCACTTGTCCAGGTCTTGGGCATGTAGAACTTGTCTGGGTCATTGGTCATGTAGAGCTTGTCTGGGTCATTTGGCATGTAGTACTTGTCCATGCCATTGGGCATGTAGCACTTGTCTTGGTCATTTCGCATGTAGAACTTCTACGGGTCATTGGGTATGTAACGCGTGTGTGGGTCATTGGCATGCAGTATTTGTCTGGGTCATTGGGCATGTAGGATTTATCCTGGTCATTGGACATGCAGTACTTGTCCTGGTCATTGAGCATGCAGTACTTGCACTGGTCACTGGGTATGTAGCGCTTGTCCTGGTCATAGGCATGTAGTCCTTGTCCAGGCCATTGGGTATGTAGCGCTTGTCCTGGTCATAGGCATGAAGTGCTTGTCCAGGCCATTGGGTATGTATCGCTTGTCCTGGTCATAGACATGTAGTGCTTGTCCAGGCCATTGGGCATGTAGCACTTGTCAGGGTCATTTCGCATGTACAACTTCTACGGGTCATTGGGCATGTAGCACTTGTTTGGGTCACTGGGCATGTAGCACTTGTTTGGGTCATTGGTCATGTAGAACTTCTCCTGGTCATCAGGTATGTTGTGCGTGTGTGGGCCATTGGGCATGCAGTACTTGTCCTGGTCATTGGGCATGTAGTACTTGTCTGGGTCATTTGGCATGTAGCGCTTGTCCTGGTCATTGGACATGCAGCACTTGTCTTGGTCATTGGCCATGTAGTACTTGTCTGGGTCATTAGGTATGTAGCGCTTGTCCTGGTCATTGGGCATGCAGTACTTGTGTGGGTCATTGGGCATGTAGTGCTTGTCCTGGTCATTGGACATGCAGTACTTTTCTTGGTCATTGGACATGTAACGCTTGTCCTGGTCATTGGACATGCAGTAGTTTTCTGGGTCATTGGGCATGCAGTACTTGTCCTGGTCATTGGGCATGCAGTTCTTGTCTGGGTCATTTGGCATGTAGCGCTTGTCCTGGTCATTGGACATGCAGCACTTGTCTTGGTCATTGGCCATGTAGTACTTGTCTGAGTCCGTTGACATGTAGCTTGTCTTGGTCATTGGGCATGCAGTACTTGTCTGGGTCATTTGGCATGTAGCGCTTGTCCTGGTCATTGGACATGCAGCACTTGTCTTGGTCATTGGCCATGTAGTACTTGTCTGGGTCATTGGGCATGCAGTACTTGTCCTGGTCATTAGGCATGCAGTACTTGTCTGGGTCATTAGGTATGTAGCGCTTGTCCTGGTCATTGGGCATGCAGTACTTGTGTGGGTCATTGGGCATGTAGTGCTTGTCCTGGTCATTGGACATGCAGTACTTTTCTTGGTCATTGGACATGTAGCGCTTGTCCTGGTCATTGGACATGCAGTACTTTTCTGGGTCATTGGGCATGCAGTACTTGTCCTGGTCATTGGGCATGCAGTACTTGTCTGGGTCATTTGGCATGTAGCGCTTGTCCTGGTCATTGGACATGCAGCACTTGTCTTGGTCATTGGCCATGTAGTACTTGTCTGGGTCCGTTGACATGTAGCGCTTGTCTTGGTCATTGGGCATGCAGTACTTGTCTGGGTCATTTGGCATGTAGCGCTTGTCCTGGTCATTGGACATGCAGCACTTGTCTTGGTCATTGGGCCATGTAGTACTTGTCTGGGTCATTGGGCATGCAGTACTTGTCCTGGTCATTAGGCATGCAGTACTTGTCTGGGTCATTAGGTATGTAGCGCTTGTCCTGGTCATTGGGCATGCAGTACTTGTGTGGGTCATTGGGCATGTAGTGCTTGTCCTGGTCATTGGACATGCAGTACTTTTCTTGGTCATTGGACATGTAGCGCTTGTCCTGGTCATTGGACATGCAGTACTTTTCTGGGTCATTGGGCATGCAGTACTTGTCCTGGTCATTGGACATGCAGCACTTGTCTTGGTCATTGGCCATGTAGTAGTTGTCTGGGTCACTGGACATGCAGTACTTGTCTGGGTCATTGGGCATGTAGCACTTGTCCTGGTCATTGGACATGCAGTACTTACACTGGTCACTGGGTATGTAGCGCTTGTCCTGGTCATAGGCATGTAGTCCTTGTCCAGGCCATTGGGTATGTAGCGCTTGTCCTGGTCATAGGCATGTAGTGCTTGTCCAGGCCATTGGGTATGTAGCGCTTGTCCCGGTCATTGACATGTAGTGCTTGTCCAGGCCATTGGGCATGTAGCACTTGTCAGGGTCATTTCGCTTGTACAACTTTTACGGGTCATTGGGCATGTAGCACTTGTTTGGGTCACTGGGCATGTAGCACTTGTTTGGGTCATTGGTCATGTAGAACTTCTCCTGGTCATTAGGTATGATGTGCGTGTGTGGGCCATTGGGGATGCAGTACTTGTCCTGGTCATTGGGCATGTAGTACTTGTCTGGATCGGTTGACATGTAGCGCTTGTCTTGGTCATTGGGCATGCAGTACTTGTCTGGGTCATTTGGCATGTAGCGCTTGTCCTGGTCATTGGACATGCAGCACTTGTCTTGGTCATTGGCCATGTAGTACTTGTCTGGGTCATTGGGCATGCGGTACTTGTCCTGGGTCATTGGGCATGTAGCGCTTGTCCTGGTCATTGGGCATGCAGTACTTGTCCTGGTCAATTGGCATGCAGTACTTGTCTGGGTCATTAGGCTTGTAGCGCTTGTCCTGGTCATTGGGCATGCAGTACTTGTGTGGGTCATTGGGCATGTAGTGCTTGTCCTGGTCATTGGGCATGAAGTAGCTGTCTGGGTCATTGGGCATGTAAAACTTGTCCAGGTCATTGGGTATGTAACACTTGTATGAGTAATGGAGCATGTAGAAACTTGTCCGGACCATTGGGCATGTAAAACTTGTCCAGGTCATTGGGTATGTAATACTTGTATGAGTAATGTAGCATGTAGAACTTGTCCGGACCATTGGGCATGTATCACTTGTCCAGGTCTTGGGCATGTAGAACTTGTTTGGGTCATTGGTCATGTAGAGCTTGTCTGGGTCATTTGGCATGTAGTACTTGTCCATGCCATTGGGCATGTAGCACTTGTCTTGGTCATTTCGCATGTAGAACTTCTACAGGTCATTGGGTATGTAGCGCGTGTGTGGGTCATTGGCATGCAGTATTTGTCTGGGTCATTGGGCATGTAGGATTTATCCTGGTCATTGGACATGCAGTACTTGTCCTGGTCATTGAGCATGGAGTACTTGCACTGGTCACTGGGTATGTAGCGCTTGTCCTGGTCATAGGCATGTAGTCCTTGTCCAGGCCATTGGGTATGTAGCGCTTGTCCTGGTCATAGGCATGAAGTGCTTGTCCAGGCCATTGGGTATGTAGCGCTTGTCCTGGTCATAGGCATGTAGTGCTTGTCCAGGCCATTGGGCATGTAGCACTTGTCAGGGTCATTTCGCATGTACAACTTCTACGGGTCATTGGGCATGTAGCACTTGTTTTGGTCACTGGGCATGTAGCACTTGTTTGGGTCATTGGTCATGTAGAACTTCTCCTGGTCATCAGGTATGTTGTGCGTGTGTGGGTCATTGGGCATGCAGTACTTGTCTGGGCCATTGGACATGCAGTACTTGTCTGGGTCATTGGGCATGTAGCGCTTGTTCTGGTCATTGGGCATGCAGTACCGCTCTGGGTCATTGGACATGCCGTACTTGTCTGGGTCATTGGGCATGTAGTACTTGTCCTGGTCATTGGACATGCAGTGCTTGTCCTGGTCATTGGGCATGTAGTACTTGTCCTGGTCATTGGGCATGCAGTACTTGTGCGGGTCATTGGGCATGCAGTACTTGTCCTGGTCATTGGGCATGTAGTACTTGTCTTGGTCAGTGGACATGTAGCGCTTGTCTTGGTCATTGGACATGCAGTACTTGTCTGGGTCATTGGGCATGTAGCGCTTGTCTTGGTCATTGGGCATGCAGTACTTGTCTGGGTCATTGGGCATGTAGCGCTTGTCCTGGTCATTGGCCATGTAGTACTTGTCTGGGTCATTGGACATGCAGTACTTATCCTGGGTCATTGGGCATGTAGCGCTTGTCCTGGTCATGGTCATTGGCATGCAGTACTTGTGTGGGTCATTGGGCATGCAGTACTTGTCTGGGTCATTGGACATGCAGCACTTGTCTTGGTCATTGGCCATGTAGTACTTGTCTGGGTCATTGGACATGCAGTACTTATCCTGGGTCATTGGGCATGTAGCGCTTGTCCTGGTCATTGGGCATGCAGTACTTGTGTGGGTCATTGGGCATGCAGTACTTGTCTTGGTCATTGGACATGCAGTACTTGTCTGGATCATTGGACATGCAGTACTTGTCCTGGGTCATTGGGCATGTAGCGCTTGTCCTGGTCATTGGGCATGCAGTACTTGTGCGGGTCATTAGGCATGTAGCGCTTGTCCTGGTCATTGGGCATGCAGTACTTGTCCTTGTTATTGGGCATGCAGTACTTGTCTGGGTCATTGGGCATGTAGCGCTTGTCCGGGCTGCATCACTGTAGGTTGTAACACTCTACGGGTTTTTCCAGGACGTTCTGAAGAAAAACGTAAACTGCAGAGAAATCTGGTATATGTGGTGGAGTACAAGAAGGACGGCGACAACGTGAATGTCACGGTAGAAATGCAGGGGTTCGACCAGCCCATGAACTTCTCGTGGACACCGGGGGTGGAATTCGAGTACGTGGGACTTGATGGCACCAACATGAAGGTACGTATATACCTGCTGGGAGCCATCTGCGTTACTGCAGGATCCTGGTGCAGAAGGTTACGAATCTTTGGACTATTGCCGGTACGGAAGCCATATTGCTGAATGATGGCGGTGGGATGGCCTAATAGTGAAAGCTTCGACACGCTGAAGACCCGCATTTGAATCCCCACATAGGTACAATATGTGAAGACCATTTCTTATGTCCCCCGCCCTGATATTGCTGGAATATTGCTAGAAGCGGCGTAAAACCATACTCACTCACCCATATTGCTGAACAACTATTTAGAGGTCGCGAACGTTTGGTCTTGGTCAGCGTTTCTTTTAATCTTTTTAATCTTTTAGGTGATCAAAAGTATTTATTACGTCATAATCCTTCCGTTTGAATAAAAGTAGGAATTGAACTCTTTCCTGAACCACGATGCTCAAAACGGGTAGAATAATGGGAAACCCAATCTCACAAACTTCATCAATTTTTGTGCTTGATTTAAGAATTCCCATGAGTTGCTGAACGGAGTACTTTGTTACAGAGCACCTTCAGATGGGACGGAAGTGCTTGCCGTGAGGAACACGCCTCTGTTACTGGAATGTGGACCTCGGTCAGAACTGTGGATGGAGATTCAATGACGCTGGTCAGTTACTTGGTAACTTGGTAACAGGTTACTTGTTACTTAAAAACAACACTAGCCCGGTCACAGTTATATAATCCTGAGGCAGTGGGATCATCTGTTGTGATGATCACTCGTTGATATGATGCATGTCAGATCGCCCTGTCAAATACACCGCGGGAGGGTGGGGTAGCCTAGTGGTTACGGCGTTGGCTCGTCACACCGAAATCCCAGGATCGATTCCCAACATGGGTACAATGTGTGAATCCCATTTCTGGTGTCCCGCCGTGATATTGCTGGCGTAAAATCATACTCACTCACTCACTCACTCACTCACTCACTATATAATCCCATACAAAAAACTCTATGGGGGTTCAGATCTGGGGTCCTTTAAGGAAAGATACTTATGGTGCGGTCCCAGTGGAGACCTTGGGAAATCGACCCACTCGACCTCGCAAACTACTCGACCTGTCTCGACCTGGGGGACCCGTGAAGATCCGGGGTAGAATAGGTCTTCAGCAACCCATGTGCTTGCCATAACAAGGCGACTATCTTGTCGTAAGAGGCGACTAACGGGATCGGGTGGTCAGTTTCGCTGACTTGGTTGACAAATGTCATCGGTTCCCAATTGCGCAGATCGATGCTCATGCTGTTGATCACTGGATTGTCTGGTCCAGACTCGATTATTTACAGACCGCCGCCATATAGCTGGAATATTGCTGAGTGCGGCGTAAAACTAAACTCACTCACTCACTCACTCGACCTGGGGGGGTATCTCGACCTCACAACGACCTCAAAACGACCTCGTAAGGACCTTGTAAGTACATGTATATGAGTATCAAGTTCTACTTCTCAGTTTCACTGTCCTTGCTGAGAGTCCTGAACATGTGACTGATCCTCTGAGGTGTATGTAGGGTTCAAGAGACCGCTTGGCAGGTACAGAGATATACCTGCTGCAGCACTGGAGTCAAAGCTGGGGAAGATACCAGCCTGTCCGCTGCTTTGCGGCGTGTTGGAGAGGGTGGTGTGCTCAGGGTGGACCTCTGGGTGGCAGCAGGTTGGTGTGGAGATGATGTGCTACCACTGGCTGCCGTTTGGCTTTTATTAAGCAATTGGGAAGATGGCGACCATTTATGCGGTCGGCGCGGACTCGATTAGGTCCAGTTGAGGTCGAGATACGTTGACTTCAGGTCGAGTCGGTCGACTCCAGGTTGAGTCCAAAGTCGAATCCATTTCGAGTTGGTCGACTCAAAGTCGAGTCGAAACCGAGTACAGATCGACTCTAAGACGAACACAGATCGGCATGTCAGGCCAGCTCGCCCTTCAGCTCGACCAACTCGTCCGAATGTCGACCTAAACTCGACCAATTCTCCACCTGGTCTCGACCCCATCTCGGACCGAAGGTCGAGGAGGAAGTCGGAGAAACATTTTGGCATGTCAAAACCATTTCAGAATCTTGGTAGACCTGATTCGATCTGACTCAACCTAACTCGTTCTGAAAGTCGACCAGCCCGACCCCCAACTCGACCTTCAGGTCGAGAAAGTCGAGTAGTGTAAGGTCGCACCATTAGGTGCCTGAGTAACAGCCGGCCTTGATATGGTTGGGGAAAACGGAAAAATAGAGAGTGAGTGAGTTTAGTTTTACGCCGCTTTTACCAATATTCCAGCAATATCAAGGCGGGGGACACCAGAAATGGGCTTCACACATTGTACCAATGTGGGGAATCGAACCCTGGTCTTCGGCGTGACGAGTGAACGCTTTAACCACTAGACTACCCCACCACCCCTCATTGTATCGACTATTGTATTATTTAAATACTCAAATATTTGTTTTCAGACATCTGAGTGCAATGGCGTCAGCATGGTTGAGAAGTTTAAACGTGTGTGATGTCAGCGGAACCACACCCCCATGAAACCCTTGCCGGTCGCCATGTTTGAAATTGTATCATATGACATATGCTTGACTTTAGGTTTTGAAAATAATAAAAAAATTGATATTAGGTTTTGACAATTTCCTTTTATGTGCATCGATATGCTCTATTTTAATATATGTATATATCTAAGCATATATCACAAAATGCTGATGTGACCTTAAATCTTAACTCACTCACTCGCTCAACATTCTCTGAGACTTGCCAGTAGGAACTAGATCATCTACTTTACGCAAAATATCTGATCGCGACACCCAGATTACATCTTCGCATTTGGGCCACTGAAACATATATTTCTTCTTCTCGAAGAAATGTACGTTACCAGATGTTTTCCATGTGTTTCTTAGTAACAGATTAACATAAATACAGGTTAAATAGCTTAAGTAGTAGACAGAGTAAATCTATGTGCACACTGATATAATAACATCAGCTTGACAATATGTTAGTTCAGCACACTGTCAGGAAATGTGTCATGATACTATAAACAAATATGGAGGTTTCCATGGATCTTAATGCAAACAAGAATGGTATAAGTATGAATGAATAGAGTTGTCAACATGTCCTTCAAAAGACAACATTTACTTCGCAAGATATCATACAAGTATCACTGAAATTTCATTTGACAATTCAGTGAAATGTACGTTACCAATTGTAACGTACATTACACTTATTCAGTAACCCCAATACGACGTATTTTGCATAAGATTCACCAAATTGACATTTTTTTCAGAAAGTATGGGCTACAGATGAGGAAACAATGTGTAGATAAAGTAACTTTTGAGATATTTAGTCACCCTCATATTATCCTGACAAAAGACACCCAAAGCACTTACCAAAATTTGTTGATAATCTTTTAAGTCGTAAGATATGGTCGGCTGTCGTACGTTCTAATGACGTACGCAATATGCTTACGTCACTCCACGTGTTTCAAACCATTGGCAAGCTGTTGCACGTTCAGCGCCCCGTTGTTGGCAGTTTGGTATCTGATGGTAACGTACATTACGGTAACGTACATTTCTGTCATGTACAAGTTTGTCCTTATTGATCCCATTTTTTTGTCGAACTTGACACATTTTATGACATATTGTATAAAAACAACTTCATGCATTATTCTAATAATGACCTATATTTATTTAATCTCAAGTTGAGGAACAGTTGGTGGTCACGTACGTTACATCCTTAACCATAACCATTAAATAATGACACATAAAATGAGTGTAGAAACATTAAACGATTCTTATGTAAGAACCAAATATTGTTTTCTTGTAAAGAACATTATTATCACTTAAAATAAAGCCAAATAATTGTTTTTACTCCGTAAATATTGTTTGCGTCATTGTATTTATGAAGTTAGTCGTGTGCTGCATGAAAAGTGGAGACACAGTTATAACATACTCTGCAAAATCCGCAAAACGATCCCATGATTGGAGCTGAATAGAAATCTATTGTCACATATCTCGTTTATCATAATAGTACTTTAGTTATGATATTTATTGCATAATTCATTAAAACAAAGCCAATGACTTTTGTCAGTTCAGCCTGGAGACAGTAACGTACATTACAATATCAGTAATATCCTTCCCTTGCGCTGTTGAAGTTTACATAAATACACTGAATGGATGCCTGCTTTAGTACACCCAAGTACCACTACATTTAATCCAATCATTAGATTAATCAAGGACACTGTTGTTTTAGGATAAATAACCAGAGACATCAATGCAACGGTTTATTGAGAATGAGTGAGAAGGGAAAGAAAACTGTCCTTAATGACTTCACCACATCTCTATGACTAGTGCCTCAGTAAACCTACACTATCTCTGGTCCATATATTACTATAGTTTTCGGATGTAAGGGACCGTTCATAATTTCTGGCCCCGTGAAGATCAGGGTTAGAATTGATCTTCAGTAACCCATGCTTGTCGTAAGAGGCGACTAACGGGATCGGGTGGTCAAGCTTGCTGATCTGGTTGACACGTGTCATCGTATCTCAAATGCGTAGATCGATGCTCATGATGTTGATCACTGGATTGTCTGGTCCAGACTCGATTATATACAGACCGCCGCCATATAGCTGGAACATTGCTGAGTGCGGCGTAAAGCTAAACTCACTCACTTACTCATAGTTTATGGCTAGTGGGGTGATGATGATTTTAAGGGGAGGTCACCCATTTTGTTCGGGGGTGGGGTGGGGGTGGGGTGTGTTACTGATTTTGTACATGACATGCGGGGTGGGGGGTCACTTAGTATGTGTGTGTGTGTGTGTGTGTGTGTGTGTATTCACAATGTACATGCTTCTCCATAAAAATCATCATCAGCCCCCATAGCCATAAATTATGATCGATCACTTATCTGCCTTTGAAAGTACATGTGCGAATTGTTCCGACGTTCCAATCAGAATGCGTGTTGTAAACAAGACTAACTGTTGGATTGGTAGTATCAGCAACGTAAAACCCCATTGGATAAAAGCCCAGTATATCCAATTCCCAACTGGTCAAAGGGGTTTTCATTATTGTTGTTTTACGCCGCACTCAGCAATATTTCAGCTATATGGGAGCGGTTTGTAACAATTAGGCTGGACTAGACAATACAGTGATCAGCAGCATGAGCATCGATCTAAGCAGCTGGGATACGATGACATGTGTCAACCAAGTCAGTGAGCCTGCATGACCACCCGATCCCGTTAGTCAGCTCTTACAACAACCATGGGTTGCTGAAGATCAATTCTAACCTGGATCTTCACGGGTCCGTTTGTCAAAGGCCCAGCCTGCTTTCTTGAGCCGGTGCCCCGGGTTCAATTCCCTTCATAGGTACAATAAGTGAAGCCCATTTCTGGTGTTACTATTAGGATATTGTTAAATGCGGCGTAAAACAATACTCACTCACTCTCTTGATCGAACCCGTGAAGATCCGGGTTGGAATGAACCTTCAGTAACCCATGCTTGTCATAACAGGTGATTAACGGGGTCGGGTGGTCAGACTCGCTGACTTGGTTGACACATGTCATCGGTTCCCAATTGCGCAGCTCATGCTGTTGATCACTGGTAAAACTAAACTCACTCACTCACTCACTCTTTGTTGATGCCTCATTTAAACACAACCCCAATGCCTTCTCAGTTACCTCAACTATATCTCATAATTCATTTGATGGGTGTTTACACGGATCACCGGGATACTGAGTATGGTGGTGAGACCAAGTGCATGGTTAAAACCGTCCGCTCGCCACATCGAAAACTCGGTTTGATTCCCCACATTGATATAAAGTAACAAGTCCATTTCTGGTGTCCCCCCGCCGTGATTTTGCTGGAATATTGCTAAAAGCAGTGTAAAAAACATACTCACTCACTCACTCACTCCATTCCTCACATGACTAACCTCATTGATATTGTTAAAATGTAAAACAAAACTCGGTCAGTTTGGTAAAACCTCCCTGACATACATCCTGTCAACATAATACTGATCCAGGGCGTCACTATGGCAACACCCTCGCTCATGGTACTACGATAACAGCACTGCGACACGTGGACCCTCGTAAATGAGGGATTAAAACAACATTAAGCATGGGAATTTTTTAATAATGTTTTCGATGTATTCCTAAAAAAAAATGATTCCGAAAATTATGTTTTTCTCGGAAACTACTTCACAAGCTAAGAAAACAGTTTAGGAATGAACATATTATGAGTAGCAAGACTCAAAGCATGATCTCATCACAGCAAAATAGTGAAGTATTATGAGAAACACATGACAACCGGAAGTGAAGTAAATCATGAGTTATTCTTCCTACCGACCCTGATTCCATTGCCAGTCCCATCTAGTGAGGAGACAACACACCCTGTGCCTCTCAACCCGGGCAGACTGTATGACATAGACCCCGACCGCAATACCAGCAGACAGTTTCTTTTCAGACCCAAGCCGCAGCCACGCGACATCTCGTGGTATCTCCTGCACGGAGGAATAATAATCAATTACTGTGTACAGCATCGTCTCTCGGTGGCCGCTCGTATGGAGCTGTATCAGGGCAGATGGGAGCTTCTCCCCGTGGAAACCACAGGCTTTGAGGAATTCAGCGATGCTATAGGTAAGACCGTTATATTACAGTATCATGATTTCTCTAAAAGGCACCGCTGTGTCACACGCACGCGCATACATTAACCCCCGAATTCCTGTTTTTATCGATCGAAATCTTCTGAGTCGTGCTGACATTTAGCCAGCCTTCGTGCCTTCATTAGAACTACGTGAAGCGACCTGGTTAGTTCTTGGTGAACTAAATCACACACAGATACTTATGTGTATCAGTCTCGTGTCACGAGATATGCATGATATCAGCTGATATCGAGAGAAGCTGGGTCGTCCTAGACAGGCTGTTAGTCTCAGTGAAGGGTTATCGATCGTTCAATGGAGGTGATGTAGAGGGTCATGCTGACTGATATGCGGCTGCAGATGGTGACGGGGCACGTCCATGACATCGTTAATAAATTGATCTAGGGATGATTTAGACTAACAGCTAGTCTTTGAAATGAACATATTTTACAGAACATAAAAGTTCTTAATTAAAATTATGAATACAATAAAAAGGAGCCCAGATACTTTCTTCACGTTGAAATCTAGACTTGCCACATTTTCTAGACTTGCTGGGCTTTCTTGGATATATTTGCTTCAGGGTCTGTATGACAGACTAGGGATGATTCTGTCATGACCCGAACATGCAATCACGTAGTTTTACCGGTCCGTGCCATTGTGATTTATCCTTACTCACGAGTAGATAGAAATAGATTTGAGACTAAATAAATTTGAATAGTCCCTAGTTGCGTATTTCATCCCAAACTTTTACGATATGAAACTAGACAGGTTTGATGTTGCTTATTGAAGCAGTGAGTGACTGAGTTTAGTTTTACGCCGCTCTCAGCAATATTTCAGCTATATGGCGGCGGTCTGTAAATAATCGAGTCAGGACCAGACAATCCATTGATCAACACCATGACCATCGTTCTACGCTACTGGGATACGATGACATGTGTCAACCAAGTCAGCGAGCCTTACCACCCGATCCCATTAGTCGCCTCTTACAACAAACATGGGTTACTGAAGATCAGTTCTAACCCGGATCTCCGCAGGTAACGCTAATCAGGACTAGGAACATCTTATTATTATAACACATAGGCGTCAGAGGAGCCAAAGTCAAATCTAGAATGATTAGGTAATTTAGATTAACCGAGTTGTATGAATTAAGAATTAAGAATATTTGTTTGGACTTTTTCACTTTTATTTTTGTAGATATATGTATTGAAATACGATTGCATTTTTTCTTGGACTAGATGTCCGGGTATGTCTGAGTGGGGTATCTTACCGCTGCCTAGTATCTCGGTGGACTGTCACTATTAGGCCATCCGTATTCTTATTTATTACCCACGTGGTCAACGTATGGGTAGTTGCATACTAATCTCGTACGTCACACGTGTGTCGTATCGCGTTGACCTGTGTCGTAACGACTTGACCTGAGATTCTAACGATTTGATTCGATAACCGATGACCTCTCAATTAGGTCACATTATGACGTAACTATATTTTCATTCATAACAAACACGTGAATTCATTCATTCTACAACTTAAATGCATTGTGGGAATGTAAGCATCGAGAACGTTGCCGTGTAGCTGTTTAATTGTGAGTCGAACTGACACATTTTATCCGTCGAAAAACATAAATGCAATGTTTCCACCAGTGATGTTAGCCGAATGAAGCAACTGCAAACCAAGAAACGGGGTGCTACGGAGTAGTTTAATATAGGAGGCTGTTCGAGGCGATGACAACTGACATGCATCGTGACGTCGGTTACCAAGGCAGTGACGTCATTTTGGTGTGACGTCATGCAAATATTGTACTACAGTACAAAACTCTTCCGCAACCCCTTTATGAAACCGGTTTCGGTTTGAAACCAAAATATTAACAAAAATACGCTATTTTGTCAGTTTAATGCATGTAAGACGTGGGTAATAAATAAAATACCACACTCGGTCTCATTACATACGAATTATACGAAACTCGTGACCTTCCTATGTTATCTGACCTCGCTTTCGCTCGGTCAGATACCACAGGAAGGACACTCGTTTCGTATAATTCGTATGAAATGAGACCTCGTGTAGTATTCTCTATGTATTTATCACCTCTACGGTCAACCAGAAAGGAGCAGGCGAAACACTTCACTTTTATTTTTGTAGATATATTTATTAAAATACGATTGCATTTTTTTCTTGGACTAGATGTCCGGGTATGTCTGAGTGGGGTATCTTACCGCTGCCTGGTATCTCGGTGGACTAACACTATTAGGCCATCCGTATTCTTATGTATTTATCACCTCTACGGTCAACCAGAAAGGAGCAGGCGAAAACAAATAATGAAAACTAAAGAGAAAGCAAATGTTTTTACTATTTGCGTTTTTTGTGTAAAACCAATTTTATGAATTTGTAAAGCTTAGATTTAAATTTATTTAAGAGGCGATGGGGTAGCCGAGTGGTTAAAGTTAAAGACGCAAGTTGAGTCGCCTTTCTCTGAAATAGTGTTTTACTACATGCAGATGGAGACAAATAAACTGACCGGGTTTTGTTGGTGAAAGGGTGAAGGTTTCTTTGTATCAAATTCATATCAGCGGGGTAATTTGTGACAAGAAAAACATTTCATTCTTACACGTGGGAAAGGAAATTCAGAACGGGCAGGAAATGGGGGCAACACCGAAATAAATAGGGACAGTTTAAAACCGGACTACTACAAGAGGCACCCCCCCAAAACACACACACACACACACACACACACACACACACACACACACACACTCGCACGCACGCACACATATATGTCGTTAATATATGTGAAATATTTTTGAACGTGATGACAATGAACGTTGCGAGGTCCCAAATCACTTGTCGTCTTGTATAGTGTTGTTGCAAATACGTGTTGCTAACATTCTGTTGCTAAGATGAGAATTGTAATGTTCTTCTGTCTACGAACTTGCATCTTATTGTTATACCTCAGTGATCAATATTGACACGCCAGACACACATCATTGTACACTGTTTCCACAAACAGAAACTGTTATTGTGGTCTAAAAAGGAACTTCAAAGAAGCCACTCATATAAGGCTGGCACAAATTCATGTTTATAAAACAAAATGTCTTTCTTGTTACATTGACAAGTGATCAAATTTGAACAAAAAATATAAAATTCAATAGAATTCCCAAGACGACGACAACGATGTCGCCAAACATGTACCATGTCGTTCCTATCGACGTACACAATATATGAGTGATTGAGTGAGTGAGTTTAGTTTTACGCCGCTTTTAGCAATGTTCCAGCAATATCACGGCGGGGAACTACAGAAATGGGCTTCACACATTGTGACGAGTGAACGCTTTAGCCACTAGGCTACCCCACTGCCCCAAACAACATGTATGTACAGTCAAACCCCTTTGTATCGAACATTCGATTATTCACCATTTTGTATCGAACGTCGAATGTGTTAACAATTACAGACAAGAACGGATGTGTCGAAGTTAAAGGACCTTCGTAACTACTTCGAGTTAGCCGATGTTCCACACAACCGGAAAATAAATGATAAAAGCAGAACTACGAAGGGGCTAAAACTTGAAATTAAGCATTGTTCTGAGTTCTATGCGGAGTTTACTTTATATTCTGTAAATGTATATAGGTACAATGTGTGAAACCCATTTCTGGTGTCCACCGTCCTGACATTGCTGGAATATTGCTAAAAGCGGCGTAAAACCACACTCACTAACTCATACTGTAGATGTATGATTGTAATACGATTAAATATTAACTTCGACTAAATATTGCCTGGGAATCAACACCAAAAATGATGTTGAAATGTAACAATTTTATAACAAAATACATTTCTCTCCTGTAAAGTGGGCACAGGTGGACCAGTGGTCTGAGGAGCCGCAATTTGAGTCAGTAGGTTCGAATCCTACGTTTGTCAGCACTGTGTCCGCGTTCCTGCAAACCTCTAAACGCTCGAGGCCAGTGACACTTCGGGCTTACCCCCCACAATAAGCTGACACACCACGATGTAACAGTAATACTTAAAGGTCACATGCAACCAAAAAATCAAACATAATTAAAACACAATTATCACTTATTCATGACATATAATATACATTGCTGGTTATGAAAAAACATATAAAAAAAATTATAAGCGTACAATCGCAAATCAAAAGTGCAATATTGTGTACTTGGGTTTACTTCCCAAGAAACGAAGCAGCCGGGATCCTGAACCCAGTCAGAGCGGGTGGGTGTGCGCTCAAGTGTAACGGCTGGTTCATTTGCAGATGCCCTCACGGCTGATTGTGTGTGTATATATAGAGATGTTGGGTTTTGTAAATACATGCTCATTTTTTGTGTATAACATTTTGCATTCAACAGACATCATAACATGTCATGTGTTCAAGTATCACACCTGCTTGTCTGTGTAATTACATAATGTGACAGAGACCGAACTCGGGCCATAAATCAATGCATTTTGTTTATGGTGTATAGCCTGATTGGTGTTAAGTTCAAATTGCATGTTGTCAGTGATCGCAGTTGTGTATTGAATATTGTCATTAGCAGACAGGCAGGCAGACGCACAGGTGTCAATAAAACAAGACATTGAGTTTTGTCTGTGACAACGACATATCTATATCACAGTTAGAAATTCTGTCAACGCTAAATAATAACATTGCTTTTAAGTATCGAACTGAGAAAGTGACTCGGTAAGAAGAACGTGTGGTGAAATAGACAAATGAAATTATATAAACAGTTTATTTACTGTCATAACATATAAAAAGCTCGCGCCTGTGAGATATCAACAAAACATTATGAAAATAGCTCACACCAAAGCCTTCACCGAGTATTCACCGGACAGCCCGCTTCCAAGTTGCGCGAACCTATTTCACTGCGCACGTGCTATGGTTGCAGCCCAGCTGTTGAAATCAGTTTTCCCCCGAAAAGTCGGGGGAAAATTAGTGAATCGTTTGAACTCCGATTTCGCGCGTTGTTTTTCATCGCTTTATTTTTCAACTTTATAAGTTGAATTTGCATTTTTGATGATTTGTTTCGGCAAGTCAATACCGAAAGGTATCAGAATCTGCAAGGTTGTGTTTTACGTTGCGTGTGACCTTAAAAGAACAGCGTTCAAACCAACTCACTCACTCACAAACCCTAAATTCTCCCGCAAACTCACTCACACGCTCACGATTTTCTGATATTGATTATCAGAGTAATCTTTTCCCTCACTGTTTTAAATCGCATTCCAAACACTTACCCACATATTTATACAGCCACACCTCGTTGTGTCGACTTTGATGTGTCGAACGTTCGGTTGTCTCGAGCTCGAAGTGGAAGAACCCTTGGCTTAGTGGAACCTCGGATTACTATGGCAACAGTTGCAATCAAGCACGGTTGAAGGGATCTTCGTAAATACTTCGAGTTATGTGAGGGTGGACAATGATGAACAAATGATCACGCAGGGATATTCTTTTCGAGACAACCATGAGTTCGGCACGTGAAAGTTCGACACAACGGGGGGTGGGGTGCGGTAGTCACTAGGCTAAAGCGTCCTTTCGTCACGCACCGGGTTCAATTCCTCACATGGGTACAATATGTGAAGCACATTTCTGGTGGCCCTGCCGTGATATTGCTGGAATATTAAAAAAAGCTGCGTAAAACTAAACTCACTCACCTCATTAATGCATGTGGGAAAGAAAATTCCAGGCGGGCAGGAGATGGGTGAAACACAGAAATAAATAGAGACAGCCTGAATCCGGACTAGAACAAGCAGCACCCCCACCCCCTCCCCCAACACACTAAAACTAAACTCAATCACTCAATCGACACCACGGTGTTTGGCTGCATTTGGTGACCTTTTCGAAAATGTGATTTTTTGATGATTATTTGCTCTGTTTTTGATTTCATAAAGATAATTACACAGTGCAGTGCATGACTAGACCTCATGTCTTCCTCATGTTCCGCTGAGCACACAATGCTTTGGAGTTGGACTCAGAAATATAATACGCGTTAATCCCAGCGGAACACTTCTCATGAATGTAAATTGATCGCATTTTGGGGCTTCAGGAAATTAGCATTGTTTGTGTTCGGCCGAGGTCGGTTATATTAGAACGAGGAGACAGCTTGGAAGCCAGATCAGGTGTCGGAAAACTTCATGATGTATAGTGGATAGTCTTCACAGTCCTTGTACCATGTCATGCTCTATCCCCTCGCACTGACTATAGATGTCCTGATTAACGAGCACTGCCCGTAACGTAGACTAACGTTGGTTGTTGTTTAACACCGCAATCGAGTCTGGACCAGACAATCCAGTGATCAACATCATGGGCATCGATCTACGCAGTTGGGATACGATGACACGTGTCAACCAAGTCAGTCATCCTGAAGACCCGATCCCGTTAGTCGCCTCCTTCGACAAGCATGGGTTGCTGAAGATCAATTCTAACCCTGATCTTCACGGGTACGAAGACTAACGCCTGGTCACTGAATATATATAACTTTGATTGAAACAAATAATGACGTTTAAATTGAACAGGAGCCCAAATGAGATGGGATAAGTTGAGGAAATCTAGACTTGTTTGTTTAGGGCTATAAAATTACAGAAAGGGCTGGGTTCAGGGTGGTTCAGAGTGGTTCAGGGTGGTTCGGGGACTGTGCGACAGACTAACTGCAATGCGAGGTCTCAAATGAAACAAGTATAGATTTGCCGCAGGTCCTGAATTTTGCATCTCATTGGGGCTCCTTTTCAGTTTGGAGTTCAGTGTAGTTCTTTGTTTCTATCAGAGTTATATATTTTATAGACTATGCGTTAGTCTGGAGGTTTGATGAGGGAGCAGACCTTCTCAGACACCGAGGTGAGGTGAGATGAAATTGGGTTTTACGTCGTACTTGAGAATATTTCGCTCATATGACGACGTGCATGCGTGTGTATGTGTATGTGCGGCTGCTTGTACTAGCCCAGACTGAAGCTGGTTTTATAGTGCTAGCCCACTGAGATACCATGCCGCAGTGAAGCATGAATACCCCACTCAGACACATTATACTGTCTCCGAGCCAACCAGTCCTTGCTGGATGACAGTCAATAAACTGTCAAACACGGTTGTGTCGAAGTTGAAGGGACCTTTGTAAATACTTCAAGTTATGTGAGGTTGAACACAATCACAAAATGATGACCAAGTGATCACGCAGCGGCCAAGCTTCGAGACAACCGGCACATCAAAGTTCGACACAACGGTGGTTTACTGTATTGGGTGACCTTTCCAAGAGTCTTGTAATTGCTGCTTGCACTCTGGTAGCAGCGATGGTACCGTCAGGGTAGCTAATGTGCAATGCTCTGAGAAGGAGCGTGAAAATATATCGTGAAGAAAAAAATAACCGACAACCCGCATATTCGTTAATCCACTGAACTAAATCGGATGTTGAAGTTTTGTGCCCTGGGTGATCGTGACACGACAGCGTGACACGTTGTTCATAATATCAATCACTGAATGGTCTGTAATACTGTTGAGTGTGGCGGTAACAAAGATTCCTTTCAGGTAACCAACAAAGACCCTGTTGTATTCATACAGGTAACCAACAAAGACCCTGTTGTATTCCTGGCGGTAAGGAACAAAGACCCTGTTGTATTCCTGCAGGTAACCAACAAAGACCCTGTTGTATTCCTGCGGGTAACCATCAAAGACCCTGTTGTATTCCTGCAGGTAACCAACAAGGACCCTGTTGTATTCCTGCAGGTAACCAACAAAGACCCTGTTGTATTCCTGCAGGTAACCAACAAAGACCCTGTTGTATTCCTTCAGGTAACCAACAAAGACCCTGTTGTATTCCTGCAGGTAACCAACAAAGACCCTGTTGTATTCCTGCAGGTAACCAACAAAGACCCTGTTGTATTCCTGCAGGTAACCAACAAAGACCCTGTTGTATTCCTGCAGGTAACCAACAAAGACCCTGTTGTATTCCTGAAGGTAACCAACAAAGACCCTGTTGTATTCCTGCAGGTAACCAACAAAGACCCTGTTGTATTCCTGCAGGTAACCAACAAAGACCCTGTTGTATTCCTACAGGTAACCAACAAAGACCCTGTTGTATTCCTGCAGAGATTAACGTTGTAGCCGTGTTTCAGGATGTCCAAAACAAGGTCGTGAAACGTTCAAGAAACTGGTGTATGTGGTGGAGTACACGAAACACGGAGAGATCTGGCAAGCAAGGGCGGAGGTAAAGGGATTCGGAGAGCCCAAGGAATACTCGTGGACGCCGGGGGTCGAATTTGAGTACGAGGGACTCGATGGAATGAAGATGAAGGTACGTATCTACTGCGAAGCCATCCATTCGTCACTGATAGCGCCTGTTACTTCCGGGCTGTGACACGGCAGCCATATTGAACACGAGCTGCGTATACCCATTTCTAAATCATTTGCGTGATTTTTGCCAATTGCTATGATTTTTTACACACGTTTAGCTAGCTCTGGGACCAAAATTAATGCATAATTATACATATTAACCTTGTTTTTGGTCTTCAGTATTAGGTCCATGCTCTGGCTTAAAGTCTCGCCCAGTTCATATTTTGCTCTGAAATATACTATCTGAAACAGACAGACTTTGGAAAGTTTCCTTTCATTTGATATGGTACTGTTCAAATCATCAGTATTTTAGACTAAGGCCTCTGTTCTCGGTACTTGTACAGAACATACTTCAGGTATATACATGACAACACATGCACATCAGTACTGACAGAGTGTCTTTGAGTGTCCAACTCCTCAGTAGCGAGTGTGTCCACCTCTTGCAGCGATACATGCTGCCACACGACGTCGTGCAGAGTGCACAAGACGTCTGATCACGTGATCTGGGATGCGACGCCATTCTTCCTGTAGAGCTTGAGCCAAAGCAACAACGTGCTGTGCGTTCGTTCCGACGTCTGTAGACTCGTACCCGACCATCACTCGTACCCGACCATCAGCTTTGTTCAACTGGAAGCGGCTCTCGTCACTGAAGAGTACCCGGCGCCAGTTCCGCGGCTGCCACTGCCGAACTCTACGTGCCCAAGCCAAGCGACGACGTCGATGTTCACGCGTTAACGTCACGCCCCGGAATGGTCTGTAGGCTCTGATACCGAATCGGCGGAGTCGTCTGGATATGGTCCTTCTACTGACTGGATGGGTAAGGCTGGTTGTTGCTGATGACGTCACAGTCAGGAATCTGTTGCGCAAGTGAAGCACCCGTAAATGGCGGTCTTCCTGAGGGGTGGTTATGGGTGGTCTCCCTGTCCTAGGCCTGTCTGCAGTCCGACCTGTTGATTCTTGCAACGTGACTGTGAGAAGCACCCAGCTGCAACATCCCAATAGCTCGTTCTCTCTGTTCTGCCGTGAGTCGAGGCATGTTCTTTGTGTCCAACGTATTGAAGTGATGAATTCGAACAGTCGAGCATAATTTTTATACTGTACTTTCATACGGGTATGTTTCCACCGAAGCATGCAAAAAACGTGAATAAAAGCAATTTTCATGCTTACAAAAAACTCCACGTGGATTTCCTTTCTGTGAGACGTGGGGATGCGTTCGGGAGATGTGTTCCTAAATAAATTTCCGTCATAACGACAACAGAAGAACTGTTTTTTCAAATTTTACTTTGGGGACGTTTCTTTTGCCCCTCAGTTTAGTTTGCATTACCGTGTAGTAGTCACGGTGTAATAAAGTATTGCCCTAAATAGTATAGTTAAAGTATTGCCCTCACTGTTATGAAAGAGCAAGTATACACTCCGAAACGTCGTGTTATTCACAATAAAGAAGTTGACATCCATAAATCTTGCTTTTCTCACTATTACAGTCGAACTATAATAGAATAGAATGTGATTTCTGTGACGTACATAGTCGTGAGAATAATTGTTTTCATATGGAACGTTTGACTTCGTAGCCGTGAGCGTGGAAATGACATAACTCTGATTGCCTCCTTGGCCAGTTGTGGCCCTTGAGCACTGAAATATGCGTGCACTATATTGAATGTTCTGGCATGAATAATCCACTCAGGCACATTATATCGCTCGCTCACTCACTCACTCACTCACTCACTCACTCACTCACTCACTCACTCACTCACTCACTCACTCACTCACTCACTCACTCACTCACTCACTCACTCCTCACTCACTCACTCACTCACTCACTCACCACCACCACCTCTCACTCACTCACTCACTCACTCCACCTCACTCACTCACTCACTCACTCACTCACTCACTCACTCACTCACTCACTCACTCACTCACTCACTCACTCACTCACTCACTCACTCACTCACTCACTCACTCACTCCTCACTCACTCACTCACTCACTCACTCACTCACTCACTCCTCACTCTCCTCACTCACTCACCACTCCTCCTCTCACTCACTCACTCACTCACTCACTCACTCACTCACTCACTCACTCACTCACTCACTCACTCACTCACTCACTCACTCACTCACTCACTCACTCACCCAGGTAGAGGGCTCTGACGATTCCATGCCATGGTTTGCTAAATAGAACATTTTGTTACAGAGCACGATTACATGGGACGGAAGTGCATGCCAGGAGAAACACGCCTCTGATGCTGGAGAGTGGACCTCGGTCCGGACTGTGGAGGGAGATTTAATGACAGTGGTCAGTTACTTAGAATGTTTTAATGAGATTGGTTGACTTGTTGTTTAACGCCGCACTCAGCAATATTCCAGCGGCGGTCTGTAAATAATCGAGACAATCCAGTGATCAACAGCATGAGCATCGATCTACGCAATACGTCAGCGAGCTTGACCACCCAATCCCGTTAGTCGCCTCTTACAACAAGCAAAGGTTGCCGAAGACCAATTTTAACCTGGATCTTCACGGGTCGTTTTAATGAGAAATGAACTATGTCTCCTTTAACGGTAATATTGTCCTATACTTTCAATGGAGTGAAACAGAATTGGTCTACAGCAAGCAATGCAATAGCAGGATCGGGTGGTAATGCCAGTTGACTTGGTCGATGCATGTCTTCGTAACCATTTTCGTGGAGCTTTGATCATGATGTCCATCACTGGATTGTCTTGTCCAGACTCGACTATGTATTTACTGACCGCCGTCATAGAGCTGAACTATTTTTTGAATGCGGCGTTAAACAACGAACAAACAACATAGGCAGACTAATATAGTCATAACTGTGGGTTGGTAATTCAGAAAGATGATTTGGCTTACTTAAAATGATGATATATTCTGGGCTTTTTTCTGGTATTCTTTTAAACTACCTATTGACACAAAGGAGATGTTTTTCACATACTTATTATTTCAGAAACTTAATGAAAGTCTAGAGGCAAGTTAGTTCCACAAGAAAGGCATGGTACCAACTGACCATTATTATACTTTTGGACAAACACATGACAAACTGAAATAAGTAAGGTACGCAACTGTGTACAACGAGTTGCACGACTTTGCTGCTTACCTCTCTAGTTGTTATTGTTTACAGAAACATAAAATGTTTGAAATAGGTTGTATTCATTTTTTTATTACTTCAATGATCAATAACTTTCAGACATCGGAAAGCAAAGGAGTCTCAATGGTTCAGAAGTTTCAACGTGCCTGATGCCAGCCGAACTTATTACCACCACGAAACCCTTACTGTACGCCATTTTGGAAATGGTATCATGGGTACCCGACGTCAGTTTGAAACAGCCGCGACTGTGATTTTCTGACAATGCGCATGCGCAAAGCGGTATAGATGTACGCTTAATATGCAACTGTTGCCATGACTACTGTCAGTATATGATTTGAGGAGCAAAAGACACATCTACTGAGTGCAATACATTTTATGAGCGATATCTATAGCGATATCTATAATTACTTTATTATTTACATCAGGCTCATCTTTTGTAATAATTTTTAAATATGTTTGAAAGCAAATATGTCAATAATTATAATAGGTTTTTCAACGATATTCTTTACATTTTACATCGATGCCTATTGTCCATCTCTTTCTTTCTTTTTTGATTTGGGGGTGGGGGATACGGCGTATGTTAACATGAGCATTTGTTGTGTTACAATGAAACAATTATTGGTTCATGAATGAAAATGTTCACTTATATCTATTTTTAATAAGTGATGTGTGTTCAGTTGATACAGTTGCTTAATATGTGTTCACTCTTTACATCAGTACAAAATGAATATGATTAGATGTAAGGTATGTACTGTTGTAAGGATTTCTTGAAGTGGGGGTAAACTAACCCTGTAAGGACAGGCAGATTAACAGCGATCACACATAAGTGTTCAGCCTACAGTACACCGTACAGTCAAATACAGAACATAGCTGAAACTGATGTTGATATGCTTAGATAATTATACTGTCAAATAAGTTGTCAGTTTGAAGTTTCTTATCTACTACTTTTGGCCATTAAACTGTTAATTTGAAGTTCCTCAACTGCAGCATATAGTTGGATCAAATGTCAATTTGAAGTTTTTATCTGATGCTTTTGGTCATCAAGAAGTATCAATTTGAAGTGTTTTTATCTGCTCTTTTTTGTCATTAAACTCTCAAACTGAAGTTTTTCACCTGATGCACCTAGTAGGATAAACTATCAAATTGACGTATCTCACTTCATGCATCTTGTAGGATAAACTATCAAATTGACGTTTCTCACCTGTTGCATCTAGTAGGATAAACTATCAAATTGACGTTTCTCACCTGTTGCATCTAGAAGGATAAACTATCATCTTGACGTTTCAAACCTGTTGCATCTACTGGGTTAAAATATCAAATTGACGTTTCTCACCTGTTGCATCTAGTAGAATATACTATCAAATTGACGTTTCTCACCTGTTGCATCTAGTAGGATAAACTATCAAATTGACGTTTCTCACCTGCTGCACCTAGTAGGATAAACTATTAAACTGACGTATCTCACTTCATGCAGCTTGTAGGATAAACTATCAAATTGACGTTTCTCATCTGTTGCATCTAGTAGGATAAACCATCAAATTGACGTTTCTCACCTGTTGCATCTAGTAGGATAAACTATCAAATTGACGTTTCTCACCTGTTGCATCTAGAAGGATAAACTATCAACTTGACGTTTCTTAACGAGTAGGATAAACTATCAAATTGACGTTGCTCACAGGGTAGGATAAACTATCAAATTGACGTTTCTCACAGGGTAGGATAAACTATCAAATTGACGTTTCTAACAGGGTAGGATAAACTATCAAATTGACGTTTCTAACAGGGTAGGATAAACTATCTAATTGACGTTTCTCACAGGGTAGGATAAACTATCTAATTGACGTTTCTCACAGGGTAGGATAAACTATCTAATTGACGTTTCTCACAGGGTAGGATAAACTATCAAATTGACGTTTCTAACAGGGTAGGATAAACTATCAAATTGAAGTGTCTGAGCTGTGTGAACGTATCTGTATCATCTACATGAATGGGAGTGTAGACGAATGTGATCATGTGACCTGCTCAACATGCCCTCTGGTTGTACAAATGTATGCTATGAATGTCACGCTTGGTATGGCGCAATATAACTGGCGCCTTATATGTATGTCCGATCTCTTTACGCTGAAGACATTTAAGGGAGACAATCGCACTTGATTTGAACAATATTGTCGTAGTGTACAGTGCATTCCTTTCAATTCACAATCCTGTGTTCGATCCTTATGTTCGACTATTAAAACATATCAGCAAAATTATAGCTGTGACAATGTAGAAGAGGGTTGTTATAAAACCAAAACCATTCAGGTGGAGTAGTGGATATAAACAATAGTTTATTTATTATTTGTTTTCTGTTGTTTGGTTAGGTGCCCCAGTGTCAATATTCATTATCGATTCATACGAAATGAGTTTTCATTTTGTTCACATTTACTGGTTGTGAATGTTCTAATCAAAATGTCCATATACAAATAATACAAGTGATACCTGGTGTACAAGGAAATATATTTTTGTTCCTATTTTTATTTAAAACCAGAACTTTGTCAATTGACCAACCGTAACATTTTAGAATATTACTGAGTCCAGAAATTTCCAAACAGATTCCCAGCGAAGAGGTCCTATGTTACGAGGTAGTTTAGCACTACTAATATCGTTCGTATGTAGTACGCAGTGTCCTTGAAACAATATACCAACCCGTGCATCCTATAACAGCTATTTCACTGCGTCGTGAATATAACGGCGGAACTGAATAAAGTATGAATTTACGTGAAAATGTTGTTTTTGTGTGTGTTATAATTAAAAGTCAACTGTCAACGATAAAGTCAAGAGGACGCAAGGTTCTTTCATGAGTTCATGTGGAGCATTGGTGTCATGGATCCGGTAGACCAAGGATCCGAATCTTGGATTCGAACCGCCCTGGCACTTTTAAGAGACGGGAATCTTCGCACACTGATTGTTTCCAGATGATGTTTATTTACCTGCTTGCATCATTTCTACGATGACTGAGTGACTTTTACGCCGTTTTAGCAATATTCTAGCAATATCACGGCGGGGTACACCATAAATGGGCTTCCCTCATTCATTTCTAGGGTAATCTGGGATATACAGATGACATATGTTAACACATGCATCATACATATACATAGGTGTGTACTTTTTGCGTCAGTTAATATTAATGTTTTAGAGCATTGTATTGTAATAATACGTTATATGGAAAACCTTTCCCCCATTTATATGAAATCCCTTGTAAAAGCAGAGTCGATTGTACTACTCTGACTCTATCATGAGCATGTGTTTATGGATCAGTATCAGAATAGAGTACCAGGCGTTCGGTAAGATTATGTTTTAAAGCCTTCTGTTGTAATAATACGTTATGTGGAAAACCATTTTGTGTTTATGAAATCAGTTGCTCACCTGAACAAAATCGGGAACGTATGGTAAAAGTCAAAATATGGAACTGCTTTGGACATCATTTTGTCCCTGATGCGTCGATTGTTGAAACCTCTTCGACATTTCGATCATAAAACCTTTACTGACGGCTTGAGTGAGTGAGTTATTCCGTCATATGCTGTTGTCAATGTTAATCTGGTGTTTGTCACCCCATGCTATGTACATCTATCTCACCACTTGGTCGTAGTCACTTTAAGCTTGAAAACAGTGTAAGAATCTACACCGAAACATCGCTCTATGCAAGAAACAAGAGAGAGTTTAGTTTTACGCCGCATTCAGCAATATTCCAGCTATATGGCGGCAGTCTGTAAATAATCCAGTCTGAACCAGACAATCCAGTAATCAACATCATAAGCATAGATCTACGCAATTGGGAGGCATTGACACGTCAACCACGTCAACGAACCTGACCACCCGATCCCGTTAGTCGCCTTTTACGACTGGGTTACTGAAGTTCACTACTGACCAGGATGTTCACGGGTCACTGAGGCCTTGAAGGCTGAGACCTTGATGGAGAAATTTTAATCAAAAGCAGTATGACGCATGAATGCCTTGCTTACAAGCCTAGAAATATTATCAGGGAGAATCTGCGATTCGAACATACAATCACATCCATGTGGTCGTCTAAGGGACGCAACTTTAGACTGTGCCGCCAATCCTACATCGTGTTATATAACATTGTCTGGAAGTATGGCTAAACATTAACTGGAACACTTAGGGGTGTTTTTACCGCCCCCGTTGTTTAGTGTTAGAGCATCCGCCCGGAGAGCGGAAGGTCGCGGGTTCCATCCCCGGACGTTAAAATATGGTACTTGTTGGTCCATGCCTGGCGCTCGGCATTAATGGGTACAACAAGGACTGGTCGGCTCGGAGTCAGTATAATGTGTCTGAGTGGGTATTCATGCTTAACTGTGGCATGGTATCTCAGTGAACTGGCACAATAAAACCAGCTTAAGTCTGGGCTAGCACAAGCAGCCACACATACACACGCATGCACGTCGTCATATGAGCGAAATGTTCTCAAGTACGACGTTAAACCCCATTTCAACTGACCTCACTTTGGGATTTCTGAAAATTATTTGACAAAATGTGTTTTGGCCTGATTTAATTAAACACAACAATGTCATTTTGTCAGTCACCATTTATTGCCATGCACGTGAATATTTACCACTTAAACGAGTTAAAGTTGTCTTGACTGAATCAGAATTAACCGAATCAGAATCATTTACAGCGAGCAGCAACGAGTTACGTTTACCCCAGCTAAAGCTGATTATGCGTTTTTATTGTGTGTCAGTATATTTCAGAGTTAACGAATATTGGGTTACAAGAAGCGTAAAACTATGTCAGAACTACCCCGCGTGCCGACATAACAATGCGAGACATTTTTAAAATCACATATCGTCAATCTCGAGGCTACCGAGATATTTGAGAAGACATTGTTCGAAACATTGAGGCAGTAATTGTTCAAGCCTGAAACGTGTAACCTTAACCCCAGCAAATATTTGTCTTTTATGACCGTTATCGCAGCATTAACGAGGTAACCAAACCCGCTATCTTTACTGACATTTCGCTGAATGGACGGTGTTAAACTCCTGGCGGAAACGTACCAGTGTTGTCTTTTAGCTATATTGTCAGACCGATAGTTGGTCCATGAAGCGTGAAATTAGCATGCCCACAAGCCGGGGTAATGCTAACACCGTTGTTTGAGTCCAATAAGCTCTAAGCAAATTCTATTAAAAACACAGTCCATATTTCAATTCTGGAAACCCATTGGTACAGTGAGTGATATTATTCTGGAAACCCATTGGTACAGTGAGTGAGTGAGTTGGAGTATTACGCTGCTTTCAGCATTATTCCAGCAATTTCACGGCGAAGGACACCAGAAATGGACTTCACACATTGTACCCAAGTGGGGAATCGAACCCGGGCCTTCGTGTGACGTGCGAAAGCTTTAACCACTAGGTTACCCCGGCGCCCCCATGTGTACATCATCCTTCATTGTTGTGAAGTCTTGATCGATGATATCAGGAAAACGCTTGTACGTGCTCTTTTTCAACTAGACGTTTGTTGCAAATAATTTTCGATTCTGTCAAGGATCAGTATTTGGAATCAATGTCCAGTTAAGAGTCATTAAGTATGATTTTACGACGCCTTTAGCAATATTACGGTAATATCACGACAAGTTACCCCAGGCATGGGCTGCAGTCATCGAACTAGACAGTATAGGGGACATAATCGTCGGGTCTGCCGCAAGCCGAATGTTGTGGGTCAGAGCATCATACATGGTTTGACGGAGACATTCAGTTGCCTGTGGGTTTAACGAAAGTGGTAAGTGCCTGAGACTTTTCTCTCATCACCACTTTATCTTCAGTTACGGCCACGAGAAAGCGATGGCAACACGAGACGAGAAGGCAACCTTTGTTTATCTCTTACTCGTCTGGGTTTTTTTTATCTCGTTTTATCGCCTTCTCGCCACCGAGCCGTGATATGACAGAATTATGTTATCTCAATCAGTAACTGAAACATATAGATTACAGCTTGGAATAAAAAACCTCTAAGAAAGAAAGTCAGGGTAAAACCGTGTATGACTCACTAACTCAATCTGGAGCTTATTTGCATTCGTTCAAACGTTTTCACTTTGGTGAGGTGAAAGATGAGAGACACAGAGATATTGTTTTGCGTGTTGTTAAAAGCCGCAACAATAAAAGGATAGAAGTCAGTACTGGGTCTGTGTGTTGCCAAGTAAACTGTATTGCGATATATTGGGACCTTAAGCGTTTGACAATGAGAGACACTGTCAATCCTATTTTCTGCATTATAAGTCCCTAAGCATTTACACTTAACGCCAAGAGAAACGTTACCCTCCAACATTTATGAATTACTGAAATACTATCAAAGGTAGGTTAGAAGGTATTACTTTACAAGAAAGTTTAACAACACAGCTTTATGCAAATCACGAAAAAGAATTCTCAAATGCATTCATATTTAGGTGAAATACATCTTTTTCAGAAGAGTTAAATTGTCCTATATTCGTCCATGCCGAAGTAAACCAATAACAGTGATTAAGATGTCCAAAAGAAAGGTTCAAATAAAATTCTGCTTTGGAACAATGATAAACCATTTAAAATCACAATTTTTCAACTATTAAAACAAGAAACAACTGCTGTAGAGTGTGTAAAATTGTAAAATAATCATTCCTATGATTTCAGTCCTATAAAACAGTTTCTGTTGATTTGCATTAGTGAAAACAAGTAACACGTGTCTTTGATATTGTGAAAAAATGTTTAGGAACATCTAAAATTATCTTTGTTAACATTTTTGCTTTGCAAAGTAACATTTTTTCCATTTTCTGTTTACACATAGCAATATCAATCGGCAAAACGAAGCAATATATAAGCAGTATTTGCATCCATTTCACATGCAGAATGATTCTATAGGGTATGAAGAGAGCCTAGAATACATGATCTGATACACAAGTACGAGATATATGCCACGATTAACAGCTGAAGAGAGAGAAAGAGCCATTGGGATGGTGCAGATGGGGTCGACATACAATGCTGTTGCCAACGCCCTCGGATGCCACCGTATCACGGTTATAAGACTTATTCAGGGCTTCAGACAGACTGGGGTCACTGTAGACAGACCAAGAAGTGGACGTCCACGCATCACAACATCAGCTGAAGATAGGTACCTCCGTCATTAAGAAAGGAGGGTAACGTTTCTTTTGGCGTTTAGTGTATGTTATGGTTCTGATAACAGCAATCTCAAAATTAGGTTGCAAAGTCAGGGATTCTATTTTCTCTTTAATACAATGATAGGAAAACATTATATACAGTGTATGTAATAGGAATAACGAAGGAAAACATGAGTTGTGGATGAAAGTGTGTGTAAGGTTTAATCTAAACCATAAAGATAATCACAAAAACTTCCTATATGTTCTTTACCCAATATACCGGTTCTCAGAAAATATATTGCAATACATATCGTTTGAAAAGACGTATTGTGATAGTCAGTACACACGTATGCACCATGTATACCGGTAATACCGTGCAGTCCCAGTCAGTATTCACACGTATGCACCATTGTACCCATGTGCTTGTTTTCTAGAGAACTTAAAGTCAGAGGCTCCACTTCAACATGTTCAAGAGATCGTGTATGTACATGTATGTGTACATGGACGTGAATCCCCTTTAGTCATCGGTAGTAGTGGAATGTTAGCGGGATAGCGGGAATATATACGAGCTTGAATTCACCTCAGATTGTTTTAGTGAGTTTGTAAGAGGCGACTAACGGGATCGGGTGGCCAGACTCGCTGACTGAGTTGACACATGTCATCGTATCCCCATTGCGTAGATCTATGTTCATGCTGTTGATCACTGGATAGTCTGGTCAGACTCGATTATTTACAGAACACCGCCATATAGCTGGAATATTGCTGAGTGCGGCGTAAACTAAACTCACTCACTCACTCGTGTATGTATTTGTACAAATACTCGAATCCCCTTTAGTCATTGGTTGTAGTGGAATGATAGCAGGATAATGGCACAATATATACGAGGTTTAATTCACCTCTGATAGTGTTAGTGGGTTTGAACAGCTCATTATCAACGGAAAAACCCACGGATCTTTAGGGCTGTTTTAGTGAAAAATCAGTTCGTTGGTTCGTTATACATACTTTTTAGTTGCATACATTAAAAATATAAACATGTGGAAAGAAACTTGGACTTTGGGTATAGCTAGTAATTACCGTTACAGAATGACAATAATCTGTCTGTAAGGTTCCATTTAGAAACATTTTCAATGTCTGTTTCAAAATACTGACCTTACCATTTTGGAGTTCACAGTTTCATCAAATTATTTCAGTGTCAGTATTGAACAAGTGCTTTGCTTGGTGTAATGGGAGGTAGAACTAATGTAGGTCTCCTCTTGAGCACAAATGGATTGGTATCCCCTTGTGACGGAGATACGATCTCCCTAATAAAACGTTGATCACTCGTATCAAGGTCAATTAATTTGTCCTTGACCTTCAGTTCCGGAAGGGGTGTAACCTTCAGCTTTTGTACTTTGCCCTTAACCGTCTGAATAGAAACACGACCTTCTGTTTCTGTACCGCCGTTGTCTACTGTGCCATCCTTTACGGAATGTCTCGTCGTCTTCCTATTTTCCAGGTTCTCGATACGCTTTCGAAAGAATTCTTCAACCTTGCCATTCATGGCTTCTGTATCCAAAATGGCGCCACTATCAACACTGTCCTTCAGCAGCTTTTGCACCTTCTGAAGCCGTCTGACTTTAGGATGCTTGGACGCAATGTAGGACTCCACGTCGCGGGACATGGAGTGGAGGCTGGCGCCGTTATACCTCCCAAACACCCCTCCATCTGTCCGTCTCCTCCTCATCTCAAGACATTTCTGGAGAACCTTCTGTCTCACCAAGGCTCTCCGGACTGTCATGGCGTTCTTCACATACTTGAACGAGGTCTCGTACTTCTCGCGAGACAAACAACTCTCGTAAACATCAGTCTTTGTTTTGAGAATGTCGTTGATGATGCAGACAAATTTTCGGTGCCGGTCTTCCTGTCTCCTAACCTGTCCATACCTTCCTTCGTCCATGGTGAAATAAAAGTATTTCCACAAAGATGTGTGGGGTATCCGTTAAGAACGTTCGACGTAAAGCAACGGACAGTCGTTAAAGATTGACTGATTCCACGCCTTTGCGATCCTCCCGAATGTTGCTGAAATTACAAAAAGAAATTATAGATATTACATCTTTGGGTGGCATTTTAGAAGTTGGGAAGTACAATATTGAACAAACTTTATGGATAACAACTTCTTTTATTTCGTGACTGCAGTCACGTAATAACAGAAGTTGTCATCCATAAAAGTTTGTTCAGTAAGATATTTCATCATTTCTCAAAAACACATTTACTGCATTGAATGATAATATTTTACTCTCATGTTCATATATCCTGGAGTATGTTCCACTCACCGCTCACACAAAGGTGCGCATACCGCAATGATTTCCTCTGCTCACTACTCAGTTAATATACTGACGGGCGTGTATATTGTTGTGCTTTGTCATTAGCGTCAACAACAGACCCCCTATAAGTACTCTTTGACCAATCCATCGACAACAATGACGTCCACCGGTTTGTTTTCCGGCCTCCGGGTGTATGCCGTAATAAAAATATTCTGCGCATGCGTAACACTATATGTCAAATATCCTTGACAAATAACGCCATTAATAGTTCAAATCAACCGTTGTATATATTCCCTCAATGGGAAATGTACATTTTGCCTGAATATTCTCCTGGCGGACTGCCAACTACCTCGACCGCGTCGTCTGTTCTTGTCGCCTGCCTCTGCACGTGTCAATGAGCAGATGTTATCAGACGTCAAAACAGAATTGTACCTCAACGACACAAAGCTCGTGCCATTCAGGGGGGTCTTGAAACTTTAGACAAATCTCTTAATACTTATCCCCATTTGCCTATAAAGAGTTAAGTGCTACTCCGAGTCGTAGAAACAGATTTACTTAAATTTTCATGACGGTGAATTATTTATGTTTTACATTCTTGACATTTCGTGGACAGAAACCTGTGGAAATTTTATGAACTACTGTGTAATTGAATGAAAGTACCTTAATTCGAAAGTTATAACGTACTTTCTACAAAAACATAATTCCAAGAGACATGGTTTGGCTCTTACCTTTATCTGAATTGAACATATAGCAGCCTTTAAGGTTGTATAAATGATCAGAAAAGGTAACAGATCACGTGTATCAGCTGATCGTTCGTGTGTATCTCAGTATATTTAACAAAACTGTCACCAAACATCTATTCTCTTTCCGTTTCATATATAAGGAGAGCATTTGATGATTTCTTTTTATATACTTGCGTTTTACTTGTTCAGTTGTAAGACTAATTGAATTTAGTTGTGGAGCTACTTGTACGTCCAATCTTAAGTGTACGACATACTAAGGGGCGGTCGTTCATAATTTATGGGTGGTGGGTGGTGGGTGGTGGTGTGATGATAATGATTGTTAATGAGCATAATTTTTTAATGTTTTGATGCATAAAATTGCTGACCCCCGAGTACATGTGAACAAAACTGATGCCCCCTCTTACCTCCCAGAACAAAATGGGTGACCCCCTCCTTAAAATCATCATCACCACCCCCACCCCCATCCACACCATAAATTATGAACGGTCCCTAAAGACCCTTGTTGAAATTTATACAATCTATACATCAAACGTTACATGATACGACTGTTTGAACAACCAAGTAATAACCACACAAGTACTTTGTTTGACTATGCATAATGTAAACTGCATTTAGTAGAGCTATCTACTCGATGTAACTCGACTAGTATACAGCTGAATATTTACACAGTAAAACCCTCCGTTCTAAAAAGATATCGATTACATGTTTTATTCATAAGCAGTATCTGACATTCCACAAATGATTTGACGTCAAAGGAAAGGCAGTTCCTCAACAGAGGGATCAGTATTGTTTACCGGCAATGGGGGAACTCCTTTACGAGACAACAACTCATTAAAACATGCTTGTCAGGTGACCCCACTGCCCCCTGTGACGTAGAGTGCGATATACAAGGGTATCTCGCGGCATGTATTTGCTATGAGATATAGGTTTATATTGTTTTCGTCGAGAGTGGGTTTTACAGGGGTGAGTGAGGCTACCACAGCTGTCTAAGCGTCTATTTGGTCTGTGATTCATGTCTGTGATTATGAAGGCGGTATAAAGATTGCCATTGTCTGGATCAGAGGACGCATATTCGATTTTACAACAGGTGAAATAGACATTTTCAAGCGTCCTTTAGAAACAATAAAAGACAATAGCTGACTTTAAGGAGCTATATATTTTAGAATATTCGTTGGATGTGTGTATGTGTTTCTGTGAGTACTCACACGCACGCACGGAATCACGCACACACATACAAACATACATATACATGTATACATACATACATACACACACACATACATACATACGTACACACATACATACATACACACACATACACACATACACATACATACACACATACACACACATACATACATACATACATACATACATACATACATACATACATACACACATACATACATACATACATACATACATACATACATACATACATACATACATACATACATACATACATACATACATACATACATACATACATACATACATACATACATACATTCCGAGCATCAACTACAAGGTGTGCAAGCTGGGATTACTTTATATACTTTCTTATTAATTGATATAGGGGCGGTGGGGTAGCCTGGTGGTTAAACCGTTCGCTCGTCACGCCGAAGACCCGGATTAGATTCCCCACATGGTACAATGTGTGAAGCCCATTTCTGGTGTCCCCCCGCCGTAATACTGATGGAATATTGCTAAAAGCGGCGTAAAACCATACTCAATCACTCATTAATCGATAGAGATCGATGATGGAAAAACTACTAATACGGACGACCCATTATTTTTGCTTAAGACAGAATACTTTTCGGTCCTGCTATAAAACATTCATTAATATATATATATTTTCATAAAAACTTTTTTCAGTGCAAGTTTATTTCAAGATCTGAGGCAAATATGTTTTGCTGGGATACGTTTATCAATTCCAGACTGTTATTCTATTATTCCAGAAACCAACCTAGAATGTCTCTCACACCCTTGAGAATAAAAAAGAAGCCCCTGTCAAGAATGATTGAGCAAGAGTACGAAATGTTTCAGAATTGTTCTGGCTTCTTTTTTTGTGTTGTCTATTCGTTCGTTCGTTTATTTGAAGTATTATTTTGTAAATAACTGATTACTTAATTTCTGGGACTAGGACAAGTCGTGCTGGTTCTGTGAATACCAGAAATACAAGAGATACGTAGACTCCCGACAGCGAAATCCTCTACAGTAATTAACTCTTTAACAAGAGTATCACTTACATATAATTGGTGAATAGCTCTTTAACAAGAGTATCGCCCACAAATAATTGGTGAATCTCATTAACCATGGCTCTTATTTATTGTAGCGAGTATGTGTATAACACCGAGACCAAAGGTCTGAGGCGTCCCCAGCATGGTTTTGAGTTACCTCCAACATTCACGATACATACCCACTCACCTCATTTCAGTCCAACTGGTTCCACTGCACAAACCAATTCAGTTCGGCAGCCAGAATGAACGTAAACTAGTTTTAGTGTTGGGGCGGCGACACACCTACAGCATTTAGCGGTGCCAAAACAACGTGGGACACATCTGTGCTCCTTCCGGTTCCGGTTCCAGCGAGCCTGACCACCCGATCCCATTAGTCGCATGGGTTGCTGAAGTACAGTACTAGTGTTAACCCGGATCTTCACGGATCCATGATCCAAGTTTCTGGCATACGGACAAACAGTTGAGCCACCCGTTCGTCCGATTTAATGGACACGTAACTGTTTTGCGTAACGAGCAATATTTTGGACGTAGTATTGGCTGACCATTCTTGTTTACGAGTCCGCTTTCGTGGGCAAGTGGATAGAGCGCTAACCTGGAGGATTGACAGTCGATGGTTCGATTCCCTGGTTGTGTCAGACCCAAAGACTTTGGTAGCTAGGTTCTTGTTACTCTGTCTAGGGTGTGGCTTAACAAGAATTGGTCGGTGCGAAGCGAGTACAATAGCGGCATGGTGTTTCTGTGGTTTACTCCCGGAATGCCGGCAGGTTACGGTTGCTGAACTAATCCGTTGTTGTTTCAACTATAGGGGTCGTATCAAATATCCATGTACAATTTACAAGGGGTGGTACATGTATCACTGATGAAAATGAAAAAAGAAATATGTAGATGTGAAAAAACATGTATTCTGACCAACAATGCCACGATAGACATAATATCATCCACTTATTGAACATGCAAAAATTTACAAATCGTTTTATGGACAAATAAATGGCATCTTTTTCTTCCAGAGCAACTGACACAATTCAATAATCGTTACATTATATTATGACCAGTGTATGAAATAATTTTTCTGGATCACTGGCAAACCGGGCTAGGAAGTTTTAAAAGTTACTAGCCCGAATGAAAATTTACTAGACAAACTAAATCAAGATACAAAACTCTCAAAAGTAGTTATTTATTATTTCTTTCATAATGTTCAAAGTTAAGCGTCAACGTTACAACTTGTCAGGACCAGATGATTCAGCACAAGTTTCAGGTTTATAACTATTCAAACAGTGACAGTCCAGTTAAGCACTCTGCTAGTCAATCAGACTCAAGTTCTGACTGACCATTTTTCAGCCTGATGTTGAGCATATTATCCAAACGATGCTATTTTGTCGTCTATTTTTTATTCTGAATTTGTAGCCACCCATGACTAAATTTCGACTACCTCGTCTGTTCGCAATAAACCAAACATTAACTTGAACATTAGCCATTGTGACCTGATGATGTAATGTATGATGACCTTATAATATACCCCATAGGGAGTCGTTTTAAGTTTAATCCATTATTCGCTCACCTAAGATTTGGAGATGTCCCCCATAATCCCCCATTGTCTAAGGATTAGCACGCTTCATTGCTTTGCTTACCTTAGACAATACCTGCCGGCTTCAGGGAAGTACCCTTTTCTGTGAAGAAGTTTAATGACTATGAAGTCGGGTCGCAGGTTCTGAATCTCGTCTCGCCTAGCCTAATCTCGCCTCACTTCACTTCGCTTCACTTCGCCTCGCCTCGCCTCGCCTCGCCTCGCCTCGCCTCGCCTCACCCCACCTCACCTCTCGCCTCGCCTCGCCTCGCCTCGCCTCACCTCGCCTCGCCTCGCCTCGCCTCGCCTCGCCTCGCCTCGCCTCGCCTCGCCTCGCTCGCCCTCGCCTCGCCTCGCCTCGCCTCGCCTCGCCTCGCCTCGCTCCACCCCACCTCACCTCACTTCGCCTCACCTCACCTCACCTCACCCAGTAAGATGTGAATGTAAGCGTCCATTTAATCCAAACCGTCCAACCTCATTTGTACACAGTCAAGCTATCGGATCAATGGTTAATCAACACATGGCCTGCCTAAAGAGCATGGTAAGGGTCTGATCAGTTCGTGCTGTGAGTGCCAGATGTGTCACTACTTGGCTTGAGTGACTAGATCCTGTAACGGTAGGCAAGAGGATTCGGTAACTGAGTAGAATAATGCACCCGTGAGCATTTCATGTAACGTGATGCGTGACATCGTTGTATTTGCTTGGCAATAAATATCTCTGAAAACCATTGAACAAAACAATGGGTTTCACAAAGCCTTTGGGCTTTATCGATGTTATGATGTTAATTTATGTAATATGAGGAACTCGACGTTTCGGAGTATATTTCACATATTACAGACGTTGACATCGTTAAGTTAAATCCCCCCAATCCATGAATGGGTTTCTTGTTTAACCGCTGATGGTCGGCTAAACTGTCTCACAGTCCCCGAACAACATTATTTTCCCTAAAGCCTAGACCTCTCTGCAATGATATAGCTAGTCTCTCGTACAGACCCTGAACCAAATATATCCAAGAAAGCCCACGCAAGTCTAGAAAATTTGGCAAGTCTAGCTAAAAATGAAGAAAGTCTCAGGGCTCCTTTTCATAATATATATATATTATTTTTTACTATTATATATATATTTTTTTTTACTATGAACTTTTTTTCTCAGTAAAATATGTTCATTTCAGAGACTAGTTGTTAATCTACGATAAAGCCTAGTCTGTCTCACAGTCCCTGAACCACATTATTTTCCCTACAGCCTCTGCAATGCTAAAGCCCTAAATGAAGCAAGTCTAGATTTCCTCAGGTTCAGAATCTGTGGTCTCCCTGGGGCTCCTTTTCAATTTAAATGGGTTTGTTTGTTACTGTCAAAATTTTATATATTCAGAGACTAAGCGTTAGTCTAATGGTCGGCAAATACAAGGCCTTCGTTGTTGTGACGTTTCTGGGTTGTGAGAGCGTGTGTGCGTGTGTGTGTGTGCATGCAGGCATGCGTATGTGTAAGCGTAGAGAGTCGGTGGAGGTGTTTATATCTCCAAACGTAAGGCTCATAATCCTACGCTGAACGACAAAACCGCTCCCGTACGTTATGACGAGTACAGGGAGTGCCATTGCGCATTCTACCCCTGCGCCCTGTTCCGAAAAGCGATCGTAGCGCTACGACAGTCGTAAGTGTATGTTAAAGTATGGGAGTTACGATCACCTTAGCGCTAAGATCACTTTGAGGAACGGGTATGGGAGTTACGATCACCTTAGCGCTACGATCGCTTTGAGGAACGGGTATGGGAGTTACGATCACCTTAGCGCTACGATCGCTTTGAGGAACGGGTATGGGAGGTACGACCACCTTAGCGCTACGATCGCTTTGAGGAACGGGGCCCTGAACTCCATTTGGGTGTCCACGTACTCAGGTCATTGGTTCAAAACAACCCGTAGTGCGTTACAACACTCAAAACGGGCTAGTGGTCAATACTTGTAACGGCTTATAAGATCACACACGACAACACTGTCAATACTGTTGGCTACTACTGAGGTATGTTGTCAATATTGTCACAGTATATCAACGCTGACACTAATATAGCATTTATATGACCAGCCTGTTGAATGTCTTTTGATATTGTCTTGTAAATCATCGATTGTTCATTTATAGCGGGTCATTTTAATCCGATCATCGTCACTACGGACACCCCCTTTTCCCGGGCGATTGCATTTAAGAAATACTTTCACTTATACCGAGCAGATTTGTACTTGTTCCAGTATTTTTGCATTACTGACTGACTGAGTTTGGTTTTACGCCGCTTTTAGCAATATTCCAGCAACATCACGGCTGGGAACACCAGAAATGGGCTTCACACATTGTACCCATATGGGGATGCGAACCCGGGTCTTCTGCGTGACAAGCTAACGCTTTAACCACTAGGCTAGTCCACCGCCTCTTTGCATTAACAAGTCTACTTTTACCAACGAAAGTAAACGAACATAAATGACTATTAAAATATCATTATTTTGTATTGACTACTCTAACTTGTAAACCTGAATGTCCAATGCCATCTTGATGGACCTGTTATGCCTATCATTGTATTGGCTCTTTGTTATGTGAGTGGAAAAATAAAGGACTCGAATCTGAATGCTTTATGGAGATTTAAATTAGTTTTACCGGGAATTGGCCTTTACAGTCCAGATCTAACGGGCTTTCGCTTCAGGTGTTACCGAAATTACATCGGTTTCCAGAAAGAGTATCTGTTCACACTTACCTATTCATGTATCTATTAACATCTACTGATTCCTCAAGGTGTAATTATCAACACCTACCCATCAATGTGTTTATCAAATCTACCTATTCGTTTATCTACCAACGCCTACCTATCATGTATCTACCAACATCTACATATTCCTTTATCACACCTACTATTCTATGTATCTACCAACATCTACCTATTCATTTATCACACCTTCTTATCCATGTATCTAACAACACCTACCTATTCATTTGTCACACCTACCTATTCATGTATCTATCAACACCTACCCATCCATGTGTCTGTTAACACCTACTGATTCGTTAAGCTGTAATTATCAACACCTACCCATCAATGTGTTTATCAAATCTACCTATTCGTTTATCACACCTACTTATCCATGTATCTAACACCTACCTATTCAATTATCACACCTACCTATTCATGTATCTACCAACACCTACCTATCAGTGTATCTACCAACACCTACCTATCCATGTATCTGTTAACACCTACTGATTCGTTAAGCTGTAATTATCAACACCTATCCATCAATGTGTTTATCAAATCTACCTATTCGTTTATCTACCAACGCCTACCTATCATGTATCTACCAACATCTACCTATTCATTTATCACACCTACTTATCCATGTATCTAACAACACCTACCTATTCATTTGTCACACCTACCTATTCATGTATCTACCAACATCTACCTATCAGTGTATCTATAAACACCTACCTATCCATGTGCCTGTTAACACCTACTGATTCGTTGAGGTGTAATTATCAACACCTATCCATCAATGTGTTTATCAAATCTACCTATTCATGTATCTATCAACACCTACCTATCCATGTGTCTGTTAACACCTACTGATTCGTTAAGGTGTAATTATCAACACCTATCCGTCAATATATCTATCAAACCTACCTATTCATGTATCTATCAACACCTACCTATCCATGTGTCTGTTAACACCTACTGATTCGTTAAGGTGTAATTATCAACACCTATCCATCAATATATCTATCAAACCTACCTATTCATGTATCTACCAACACCTACCTATCCATGTGTCTGTTAACACCTACTGATTCGTTAAGGTGTAATTATCAACACCTATTCGTCAATATATCTATCAAACCTACCTATTCATGTATCTACCAACACCTACCTATCCGTGTATCTATCAACATCTGCCTATCCTTGTATGCACCAACATCTACCTATTCATGGATCTATCAACATCTACCTATCCATGTTTCTACCTATTCATGTATCCACCAACATCTACCTATCCATGTATCCACCAACATCTACCTACATGTACTCATATATCCACCAAACCTATCATGTATCTACCAACACCTACCTATCGTGCGTCATCACGTTTCCAATCCACCATTATAACGTTGTCCCCTGTACGCACATCCTGTGGTAATCCACACCAAGTCCAAGTAGGTCACTACGACCTTCACAAAATACATTACTTTCCTATTAGCAAACATATCCTACATACATTAAAAATCAATACTTCGGACAGTATAACAAATCTTACGTTATCTCTAAGGTAGAATAAACTGTTCGTCTGAGCCCCCACCCCTCCCCGACCCCATCCACATTTCCAGTAGAGATCAGGACGCCACATGGTCTCTGGGTGAAACCTATTGCCATACAAACGTCCGCAATGGCCACTGGTGTCGAAGTTTATCACCCGTCACGTCTTTCCCGACAAACCCGTGCTGTATTATTTAATCAGCTGAAATTACTGTCTGCACAGCACAGTGTATGCAGTATATTAAGACGTCATTAATCACAGGGACAGAGATAAGTGTGCGTTTAAAAAAAGAGTACATTCCATTTCAGTGAGTCCGTATCGCTGCTGATCATCAGATATGTACACACCCAATGCGTTATGGGTTACACATGTTTTGATATAATAAAGAAGACATGGCAATACTGTATCGACTGACATAAGACGCCAACAGAAATATGCACGGGTGCTATCAGATAAGGTTCTATCAACTTGTGTAAGCATTGCAAATGTGTTGGATCTACATGCTGTGTTTAGGAATGTACCTTTGGGGAGACTACTGGAGAATCGACCCTGGGGAAGGTGACAAGCCCAGGTGGTCATTTTATGTCTTGAGGGTGGTTAACCCCAAGAGACAGAACACAGGCATCTCGCATTTATTTTTCATAGACGCCAAAGCGTCGATCATTCATACAAGTAAGTGAGTATGGTTTTAAGGCGCTTTTAGAAATATTCCAGCAATATCACGGCGGGGGACACCAGAAATGGGCTTCACAGTTTGTACCCATGTGGGGAATCGAACCCGGGCTTTCGGCGAACGCTTTAACCACTGATCCGCCCCATCATCCATACGAAATGGCAGCTACGCGAACCGTGTAGTTTCAGAGAAGCAGTATACATTAACAAACTGGGTGCACGAAAAATGTCACAGTTAGAAGCATGATTAAAATAAAATATACTACAAACAAAAAGTAAGGGAACACCCTAAATTTGATAGTCATATATAAACTTAAACATGGTGAGGTCATTTATACTCTAAGGTAAATGCAATTTTTTGTGTCCTTAATGGGCAATTTAAATGACATGTTCAACATAAACGTTAACCCAAATGATACCCATCGGTTAAAGTTATGTTTGAATTTTGTGGGAAAGCACCGATCACTCGACCATTTCTGAATCATGTTGTTTGTCAGACAGGTGGCAGACATATATAAAAACCGTCATTACCTTTACACGGCTTTCAGAAATCGGTCAATATCGATATCAGATACGGCTGTCTCTTTCTTTAAATCAGAGTCGACCCCGTTGCCAGATACATGATTTGCTTACTGATGACAAAAAGAGAGAAAGGACACACATCGATATCACACAATCCATACTCGTAGATCCGGCACTTTCATCTAATGATACCCCTGGGTGTGAAAGAATTGAATGGGAATTCGATAACTAAGCACCAGTCAATCTTTAAACAATGTGAAAACAGACAAGGACGTGTCCCTGTAATAATACAGTTCTACACAATGGTCAAGAAGACAATGACATGTCACTGTAACACTACAGTTCTACACAATCGTCAAGAAGATATTGACATGTCCTTGTAACACTACAGTTCTACACAATGGTCAAGAAGACAATGACATGTCACTGTAACACTACAGTTCTACACAATGGTCAAGAAGATATTGACATGTCCCTGTAACACTACAGTTCTACACAATGGTCAAGAAGACAATGACATGTCACTGTAACACTACAGTTCTACACAATGGTCAAGAAGACAATGACATGTCCCTGTAACACTACAGTTCCACACAATGGTCAAGAAGACAATGACATGTCGCTGTAACGCTACAGTTCTACACAATGGTCAAGAAGACAATGACATGTCACTGTAACGCTACAGTTCTACACAATGGTCAAGAAGACAATGACATGTCACTGTAATGCTACAGTTCTACACAATGGTCAAGAAGACAATGGCATGTCACTGTAACACTACAGTTCTACACAATGGTCAAAAAGACAATGACATGTCACTGTAACATTACAGATCTACACAATGGTCAAGAAGACAATGACACGTCCCTGTAACATTACAGTTCTACACAATGGTCAAGAAGACAATGGCATGTCACTGTAACACTACAGTTCTACACAATGGTCAAAAAGACAATGACATGTCCCTGTAACATTACAGTTCTACACAATTGTCAAGAAGACAATGACATGTCCCTGTAACACTACAGTTCTACACAATGGTCAAGAAGACAATGACATGTCCCTGTAACACAACAGTTCCACACAATGGCCAAGAAGATAATGACATGCCCCTGTAACACAACAGTTCTACACAATGGTCAAGAAGACAATGACATGTCCCGCTACACAATGCTTACTAAGTATGTTAATGTAGACAATGATGTGTCCCTGTAACACAATGCTTCCTAAAAATGTTAACGTAGACAATGATGTTGCCCTGTAACAGAATGCTTCCTTACAATGTTAACGTAGACAATGATGTGTCCCTGTAACACAATGCTTCCTAAGAATGTTAACGTAGACAATGATGTGGCCCTGTAACACAATTCTTCCTAAGAATGTTAATGTAAACAATGATGTGTGGCCATGTAACACAATTCTTCCCGAGAATGTTATATTAGACAATGACGTATCCCTGTAACACAATCCTTCCCAAAAAAGTTAACGTAGACAACGATGTGGCCATGTAACACAATTCCTCCTTACTATGTTAAAGTAGACAATGACAAGTCCCTGTAACACAATGCTTCCTTAGAATGTTAGCGTAGACAATGGTGTGTTCCTCTAACACAGTTCTCCTAGCACTTGTTAAAGTAAACAATGACATGACCCTGAAACACAATGTTAAAGTGGACAATGATGTGACCCTGTAACACAATGCTTGCTAACAATGTTAAAGTAGACAATGGCGTGATGATGTAACACAATGCTTCCTAAGAATGTCAACGTAGACAATGATGTGACCCTGTAACACAATGCTTGCTAACAATGTTAACGTAGACAATGGCGTGATGATGTAACACAATGCTTCCTAACAATGTTAACGTAGACAATGATGTGACCCTGTAACACAATGCTTACTAACAATGTTAACGTAGACAATGATGTGGCTCTGTAACACAATGCTTCCTAACAATGTTAACGTAGACAATGATGTGACCCTGTAACACAATGCTTCCTAACAATGTTAACGTAGACAATGATGTGACCCTGTAACACAATGCTTACTAACAATGTTAACGTAGACAATGATGTGACCCTGTAACACAATGCTTGCTAACAATGTTAACGTAGACAATGGCGTGATGATGTAACACAATACTTCCTAACAATGTTAACGTAGACAATGATGTGACCCTGTAACACAATACTTGCTAACAATGTTAACGTTGACAATGGCGTGATGATGTAACACAATGCTTCCTAACAATGTTAACGTAGACAATGATGTGGCTCTGTAACACAATGCTTCCTAACAATGTTAACGTAGACAATGATGTGACCATGTAACACAATTCTTCCTAACAATGTTAAAGTAGACAATGATGTGATCCTATAACACAATGCTTACTAACAATGCTAACGTAGACAATGATGTGACCCTGTAACACAATGCTTCCTAACAATGCTAACGTAGACAATGATGTGACCCTGTAACACAAAACTTCCTAACAATGTTAACGTAGACAATGATGTGACCCTGTAACACAATGCTTGCTAACAATGTTAACGTAGACAATGGCGTATCCCTGTAACACAATGCTTCCTAACAACGTTAATGTAGACAATGGCGTGATGATGTAACACAATGCTTCCTAACAATGTTAACGTAGACAATGATGTGACCCTGTAACACAATGCTTGCTAACAATGTTAACGTAGACAATGGCGTGATGATGTAACACAATGCTTCCTAACAATGTTAACGTAGACAATGATGTGACCCTGTAACACAATGCTTACTAACAATGTTAACGTAGACAATGATGTGACCCTGTAACACAATGCTTGCTTAACGTTGACAATGGCGTGATGATGTAACACAATGCTTCCTAACAATGTTAACGTAGACAATGACGTATCCCTGTAACACAATGCTTACTAACAATGTTAACGTAGACAATGATGTGACCCTGTAACCCAATGCTTCCTAACAATGTTAACGTTGACAATGGCGTGATGATGTAACACAATGCTTCCTAACAATGTTAACGTAGACAATGACGTATCCCTGTAACACAATGCTTACTAACAATGTTAACGTAGACAATGATGTGACCCTGTAACACAATGCTTACTAACAATGCTAACGTAGACAATGATGTGACCCTGTAACCCAATGCTTGCTAACAATGTAAACGTAGACAATGGCGTGATGATGTAACACAATGCTTCCTAACAACGTTAAAGTAGACAATGACGTATCCCTGTAATACAATTCTTCCTTACGATGTTAAAGTAGACAGTGCTGTGTCTTTGCAACACAATATTTGCTAACAATGCTGTGTAGACACTCACTTGTTGATGTTATACATGTATAAAAATTCGTAACCATGGAAATTCCTTTGCAAATTCCTTGGCATTTCCTCTACATGCCGCTCGCATTCGGCCGTTCACAAACAACCGCAATACATGACAGGCGCTTTTACATAATGCTTACATTCATTTACACGAAACAAACACATGAACATAAAAATTACAACTGCTCTTTTAACGAGCGCTTATTACAAGAAAGCGGAAATAGATTATCATCTTACTTTGAGAAAAAGTCCCATTGAGCTTCAATCATGATATGAGATGCACACTCGGCTATTTGACAGTTGAGCTCATATAACAAATTTAAATTGACATAACTGAAAGTACAGTTTACCAATAAAATTAAATCAAACAGTGGGCATAATTAATCAAACAGATGTAGCTGCCACACAGTGATAGAATGAATGAATATTGCTTTACGG